ATTATGAAGTTTCTACATAATAAGACTGTCTTCTTAAAATACAGTGAAGAAAATATTCATTAATAGTAATATGAATCATACCGTTTTCGTACCTTTATACAGTATTATACCACAATGAAAAAAAAAGGTCAAAAATATTAGAAGGAAAAACTTGCCGTATTTGTGGCTCTATGGGAACACTAAAGCGCTCGGTAATATTTACCAAGGAGCTTTGTTAATGGTTTTTGTAAAATTACCCATAGAAAATAGTTCAAAAGTATGTGATACAATTTGATAAATGTGGTAAAATTTAGTGATTTTATCATGATACCTAAGAGCATGGCAGAAAAACTATTTATTCGATTAAATTTACTTTTCAGTTTAGTATTTTCTTAGTAAATACTAAATACTAAGAACTATAATTTTGAAAACCTGAATTTCCTGCACATGGTAAAAAATTCCGGATCAAATTTTGATATAAAATACCGGCACTTTGGGTGCATCATCCGTAAAATCCATTTTTACCATTAAGTACTACGTCGTAATGCTTACAGTTATTTAATTAGATTGATTTACTGGTTCTACGGAATTTATTATTGTAAAATATACGGTATATCAGATTTAAAAAGCATGTTCCGATAAAAATAAATTTTACGGTAAAAAATGCCGTTACCCTGAATGCCCCGCCAGTATATTTCACCGGAATTTGATCCGGAGTTTTTTCGTTCATATGGTAACAGTTTAGTGTAAACTGTTACCATATGAACGAAAAAATTTCCAAACGAATAATTTAAATACCGTATATTTTAGTTTTATTAACCAAAATTATGTTTTTTTTTAACCGGAAATGACATTACCTCACCTTACAACGGTAATTTTACCAGAACTTATTTAGTTGGCAGTTATTAGTGCATAGTTTTTATATTGTACTTTACTCAAGATTTATCCCTATAATGCCTAGTGTCTCTTTTTAGAGATGACATCATGAGCTTACGAGAATTAAAATTCAAGTATTTATTTTGATCAAACTTTATTATTAGCATTACATAGAAATCGTTCGGTTGACAGTGTGTAGATTTTTTTTCCTTTTCAAGTCTATTACATGAAAAGCGTTTTTTTAGAAAGAAAATATAATAATAATTAACTTGCATACAGCAAAAAATATGTTAAAAAAAAAGGGGTAGCCTCTTTTCCTTAGTTAAGATTTTTTTCTCCTTTTAATTAAAACGTTCTGAAATTTTCTGAACCTTTTAATTTAAAAAAATAAAAAAATAAAAGAAATGCCAGAACCCAAGGGGGACAAAATAATAACAGTACATTATTATTTTAGGAAACATTCCATTGAAATAGGTTGATTTCAACATAATTGGGTTGATGAAATTAAAGTTTAACTATACTTACATCGCTTATGCGATTGAAATTTTATATTTTATGTCTTGTAATTCTTCTCTTTTTCTAAAATAAAAAATTGGCATGCTATCAAGTATAGAAGAGAATTTAAAAGCACAACGAATAAAGAAATCAAAAGGAGAATCTTAAAAATCTCTTCATTTATTTGCATAAATATGAACCACTAACCCTCCAATTAAAATAACTCAAAACTTTTCTTTTAAATAAAGGAAAACTGTGTGGTCATTTCATGTTGCAATGAGAGTTATGAATTTTTTGTTAATCTTCTAAGATTATATTAATGAATTTGTTGAGGAAAGACCGAAAAATTTAAGGGCTCACAACTAATTCAAATTTTTTTTTAAGCGAATGGCTAATTTTTTTTTTCTTAAATCGTAAGAGTAAGCAAAAAAAAATATATTTATATACAGAATTTTTCTGAGAATACTTTTTTTATTTAAATTGAAGTAACCAAAAAATGTGGAAAAATAACAAAAATGCATATTTTTATAATTCCGTAACTATTTTGAAACTTCAACTAAATAGGACGCGTTTTCACACAGTCATAAAAATACGTGGTTGCGAGAAATGTTATTCACGCATTCCAAAAAAGTAAATAAATAAATAACATTAATTTTGGATGCAAAATAACACTAATTTACAACCACATCAATACCATTTTTATAATACTATGTTCTTTAGTCATTTCTCTTAAAACGTGCGAAATTTCATAATATTCATCTACTAATCTTTGCATTGTTGAATGAGAGAATAGTAACTGTATATAACAGTAACTTTCTTTAAAGTAAAAAAATTATTTGTCTTTAGATATTTTATTTAAGTGAAAACATAGGTATTATATGTAGTTTATATAACTATGACCAACAGCGTAGTCATAGTGATACACATAAAAAGATGGTTTAATGAAAGAACAAAATGCTCTCTGATTAGCAAATTTGGCAGCAGTTCTTTTTAATAAGTCAAATAGCATCGATCTTAACACAGTATTTAATACATTCAAAATTTGCAAGCTGTAAGACGCTCAATTATCGGTGGGCTAGAGATTTTTCAATCATCAAAGATTGCAAGGATTTTTTTTTCATTCATTTTCTTTTAATGTAAAGCGAATACAGAAATAAAAAAATTACCATAAAATTTTTAAATTGCACACTTAAGACATTGGTTAAACATTAAAGAACAAGAACGTGCTTATTTTTTTTTTGCTACTATGAATTTTTTGTTAATCTTCTAAGATTATATTAATGAATTTGTCGAGNTATATATATATATATATATATATATATATATATATATAAAGGAATTGTGTTTCTCTCCATATTAAATAATCGTGAGTGTCTCCGCTCCCTCTGATTTGAGTGTTTAACTTTACGTCACACTTTGGTTTTCTGCGCAACAACTGTAAGACACAGAAAATTGAAATTACAAAGTAGAAATATGTTCAAGATGGAATAAAAATAAAAATTAGCGTATGAGAATTATTAACTGTGAAACTTGAAGATAAAAAAAAATATGTGATCCGTTCTATATATCACAGAAATTGAGCTAAATATTTAGAATTTCACGTGTTAACCATATTTGTTTATAAGCTTAATACGAGTTTTTTTTTTCCAACTATTGAAATTTTAACGAGTTTTTAGAAACTCTACGAGTTTTTTTCACTTTTTTTTGTTACATTTTTATTTATGGTGCAAAAACTATTCGACTTGAAAATTGAATGAAGTATAGAAAAATGTGCAGGAAATACTAAAAAATGTAATATTCGATAGTTATATCAAAAATTACTAAATGTTAAATTTTTAAGAAAAATATCAAGCGACGTACAAGCCAATCTACTATTGAGTTGAAGTCTAACTTGTTCAAGGAACCATTTATATTTGCAACTTAACACGACTTTTTTTTTTTTTTTTTAAGTTTTAATTTGTTTAAAAGTTATTACAATTTTAGGTGCAGGATTGTTTTCTCAGTTTTTTGCTTTTAATATTAGCTATTTATCCATTGTTATGGAAAAATTTGTTTTTCTCTCTCGAGACCTTTATTTCATAAGCTGTGACTTGAATTGATGTCAAATATAAAACAGAAAAAGAGAAAGATTGGAACCAATCTACAACAATCTATAACCTACGAGCCAATCCGCTCGTAGAAAGCTCGAACCAACCCGTTGCATTTAACGAGCCAACCCGCTCGTTAAATGCAACTAACGGAGTTGAAATTGGACATGATGAAAGAGTCATTAATATTTGAAACTTAACACGTTAAAATTATTGCATTTCCAGGTGCTTCTTTCAAGAATTTTTCTCAGATCTTGATTTGAATACTGAGCATTTATCCCTTTCTGTAGAAAAAATTATTTCTCTTTCTCGAGATTTTCATTTCATAAGTTCACACTTAAATAGTTGTCAAAATAATAGAGAATGAGAGAAATTAGATCCTACCTGATATAAATCTTAATATTTAACTAGAGAAACTTGATAGATTAATAGAGATATAAACCGTTCCTTATTTAGACTGTCTCGATAAAAAGTAAAATTGCTATTTCTCATTTATTTCTTCACATTGAGTCAACACAATTATTCTTTTAGATAATTATTAGCACAGTTTTTTTTTCAAATCCTGGTAATCGTTCAGTTCGCTACGGTCTACATATGAGGCCGGGAAAATCTGGTTGGTCGGACGTTGGACTCGTGTTCATGAGGTGAGACGTGACTCCAATTTTCACCTGTCGAAGAGTCCCTGTTTATTTAATGGTGACTGGGGTACATTAAATCATTCGGAGTAAAAACGCCCATGTTCTCATTGCAAATCTATATCTTATGGGTACCGAAAAGAAAATTGATCGTTCTCTTTTCCAGGCCAAAATTACGATCCTTTGAGTATGGGGTATGAATCAGTTCTCCTTGTAAAACGGGCTGTGATATATGTGTGGTTAAAATTGTATTTTTAGCCAAGGATGGCTCAACTGAAAAAAGTAAATGCACCTCACTACCTTAAATTCGATTGGTTTCTTATAGTAGACTTGCTGGTTTTGGCAAGGTGCATAAATAACAACACGATCATGACAAGAAATATTTCTTGCAAAAAACTAACAATATTGTATATTTTTTAACAAATGTGTCTTAAGCACATACCCTAAAAACAAAATAGAAAATAATTTAACTAAAAAATATCTTTATGATGACTTTTTATTGTATGTGTTGATTTTTCATTCCGATTTTGCCGTACTTACGATTGCTTTCAACATATTCTGCAAATAAATTTTGCAGAATATGTTAAGATAAATTCAGAATTAGTGGATTCAGAAGTAGTGGAACCCCAGATAAATTCAGAATTAGTGGATTTGGAAAAAATCTCACAACCTTCGTCACGACTCGGCCTAGTATTTTAAAACGGATCTGAAAACAGAAATTTTTAAACGCAATGGGAAAGTTGATATTAAGATCATCATTGAAGAAATTCCATTGCCATCTGTGGGCTGTTTTGATAACTAATATGCTTTATGAAATTCCGAGTAAAGTTTTAAATAGAAGTCAGAGTTATTATTTTCTGCTAATATCAATAAGTATTTTCTGATGGAAAACATTTAACTTTGTTAGTTACAATCTGGCAACATCTTTACTTTAGTTCTTCGTGTTTCCGTTTCCGTTTTCTTGGCTGTTTATGAGAAATGTTAACCGTTGTTTTATTTGTTTTTGTGTTGTGATTATTTTTTTCACTACCGAATTATAAAAGAAATACGAATTAATGTGGTCATCAAACGAAAACAGCACACAACCGCCGCAAACTGTTCGGCAGGATTTCAGAATGTTAACTGAAAGCAAATCTCGATTACAGCATTTCAAAAATAAAGGTAAAGATCAAGATGAAATGAGAAGAAGACGCAACGAAGTGACTTTCGAGCTGCGCAAAAATAAACGAGATGAATCTTTATTAAAACGCCGGAACGTCCCATTACCTGACCCCAATGACGACGATGATGGAGATGACTCTCCACTTCCTACCAGCCTTGAAGAGATAGTAAGCAATGCCCTAAGTGATGACCCAGCTATCCAACTTGCGGCTGTTCAGGGTGCAAGAAAATTGCTTTCTAGTGATCGAAATCCACCTATTGATGATTTAATACACTGTGGAATTTTACCAGTTCTTGTTAATTGTCTAAAGCGGCATGATAATTCATCTTTGCAATTTGAATCGGCCTGGGCATTGACAAATATTGCGTCTGGAACCTCCTTGCATACAACTGCTGTTGTAAATTCGGGCGCAGTTCCCTTGTTCTTGGAGTTGCTGAAATCCCCACATCAAAATGTTTGTGAGCAAGCAGTTTGGGCTCTTGGTAACATTATTGGAGATGGCCCAGATTTTAGAGATTACGTAATAAAATTAGGTGTTGTCCCTCCTCTGCTATCTTTCATCAAACCTGATATACCTCTTTTTTTCTTAAGGAATGTAACCTGGGTTATTGTAAATTTATGCCGAAATAAAAATCCACCTCCTCCTGCTGAAACTATTAGACAAATATTACCTGCTTTATGCATGCTGATTCATCACACTGACATTAATATATTAGTTGACACAGTGTGGGCTTTGTCATACTTAACTGATGGAGGGAATGATCAAATTCAGATGGTGATTGATTCACAAATCGTGCCTCACTTAGTTCCATTGCTGAGCCACCGTGAAGTTAAAGTCCAAACAGCAGCTCTGAGAGCAGTGGGAAATATTGTAACAGGTACAGATGAGCAGACGCTAGTGGTACTTAACTGTGATGCTCTCTCTCATTTTCCTGCTTTGTTGAATCATCCTAAGGAAAAAATCAACAAGGAAGCTGTTTGGTTTTTGTCAAACATCACTGCTGGGAACCAACAGCAAGTTCAAGCAGTAATTGATGCTGGATTGATACCTATGATTATTCATCATTTGAATAAAGGAGAGTTCCAGACACAAAAAGAGGCAGCATGGGCTATTAGTAACCTCACTGTTAGTGGTTCTAAAGCGCAAGTTGCTTACTTAGTTGAGCAAAAAGTTATACCACCTCTTTGCAATCTTCTTACCGTTAAAGATCCCCAAGTCATCCAAGTTGTACTGGATGGTATCAGTAATATATTGAAATTTGCTGGACCACAATTCTTCTCTGTTGCCAGTAATATAGAAGAATGTGGAGGTTTAGATAAAATTGAAGCTCTTCAAAATCACGAAAATGAAGAGATCTACAAAGTAGCATATGAGATTATTGATCAATATTTTTCTGATGACTTGGAAGATGAAGATCCTGCTGTATTGCCTCCATCGAATGACGAATGCTACCAATTCGACCCTAATTCTGTTCTTCCATCTGATGGTTTTAAATTTTAAAGCCTGGAACAGGTTTTTGCTAGGTTCTTTCATTTCAACCAAATATGTTATACTTCATCTTTTATATAAAAAGGAAAATCCTGTCGATATTTTAAAAACTTTGACTATTTTTCAAGGTGTTAAAAAATAAATGCTTGGTGTAAGTAAAGACATCAAAATTTGATTTAAACTACACTTAGAATGGAAATGGTTATGATATGGAACTTGAGACTAGTTTCAACTGTTACTAGCAACAAATTTATTTAAATTTTCAGAAAGGCTAACAACTTTTAAAGCTACAATTCTGATACTTTAGTGAGAATCATATTAAAATGGAAAATTTTGCATTCTTGAAATTAACATTTGTTTATGAAGCAAACAAACTCAAAAACATTGACTGTTTAACTTTACCAACATACATAAATTGAATTTGAAAAATTAATTTTACTTTGATTTAGTCGTAAAGTAATATTGAAGGCAGTTTCTGATTAGAAAACATTGGTCTTGCAAGTATTTGATTTGTTACATGTCTGCAATAGCAAATGTGACAGTATTGCAAAATTTACGTAGTTTTGTTCTGGCAACAGCAGCTCTTATATAAATAAAGATTTATTATTTTTTTATGGGGAGGGGGGGATATATCGGTATCTGTTCCGAGGTACTAGCTTTACCAAAATTTTTTAAAAAAATATCTCGTGGCTTCTTAGGAGGTAGCTACGAGTCATACCTGTTGAATTGGTCTCCTTTTGGGATGTTCTTGTTACCGACTGCTCGAAAATCGCCGAAACTTCATACTTATATTCATATAGAGACCAACATGGAAATATTACCCCTGTTTTTTTTAATATGTCTATTGATTTAATACTTTTCTTTTTGGAAAGTACATAACATGATTTACCCTTTAAAAATCGACTATTATTTCACTATTTTTTATGATGATTTTCCATTTTGTTTATTATAATAGAAATCTGAAGCAGCGCTAAAACAAGTATCACAGTTAAATAACTGCAGCAGACATGTCACAAATCATTATATTTTTCATGTAATTGTAAGATGCACAACGGTTTGCTCCTTATATCTGTAGAATATTTGTTTATATACCTATAGATTTTAAGATTTAACTTTTAAAAAAAAATTATTTCTCTAATATGAGCATGAACATTTTAAAATGGGATATTAGTTTGAAATGTATTAAGTAACTAAATAAGCAATAGGACAGCATTTGATAAAATCATCTAAATCAGTTTCTAATGAACTTTCAAAATAGAATGACATATTTTATTCATTATAAATAAAATTAATTATTAATTTAGAATGGTGTTTGAAACATTTACTATTAATTATGTTATAGGAAATTGGAATAGAAAATGTTCTAAAAACTAATCTTTGTATGGAATTTGTATAATTATATTTTTTATTTATTAATAAATAAAGTTATTATTAAACACTGATATTTTTTAATAATTAAATACTTGTAAATGTGTCCTTGAGTTAGAAGTTTTGTAATACTTAATGAGTTCATTTTGAGGTGCAGAATAGTATTTTTATTTTAATCAGAGACAGTTGAACTCACTTGTAGCAAACTCAAAGGGTCCGCAATATTCGCTCATTACAGCTAGGTTCTTGTGAAATAATTCATACATACTTAGTAAATGATACTTCTAAATAGTAATATATTTATTTTTCATTCCTGTGTAGAACTAACGGAGTTAATTTTCTTTGAACTGTCTAATTGTCCTTGAGATAAGACTGCTAGCCCTAAATGCATCGTCAACAACAAAAAGGATATTGTGGACCGGACCAAAAAAAATAGTATTCTAAAAAGGAATGTGTCCAAGAAAAAGTAGCTGAGCTGGACAGATGGAATAAAGTATAAATTTTATGAATCAGAAAAATATTGCTTATCAAAAGTAATCTGTGCTCCAATAGACAGCATTGTACCAATCAAGTATTTCCAAATTTTTCGTAAAATCAGCGCGTATTATAAGCGAGTTCAACTGTAATGATTTGAGTATAGGCTATCTTAGCTCTAAAATAATCCTGATATTTGTATGAAAATATATCTTACTTATATTTTACCTTTTTAAAATGCACAATTTTCATTTAATTTGTAAATTGTTCATTTTATTAAACAACTTAAATAATAAGATCTGTATTATTATTTTTAGTTCTAGACATTTGAATGAAATTAGTGTATCACATTTTTTATTCTGAAAAATATTTAAAATCAAATCTAAATTTTCTTACTGTTGTATTTTATATTAAATGTATTAATTTATCCATGTACTTGACTGTGTTTTTTTAACTATCTTGATAATTTTTGATAGTATAAATTAAACTAAATACTAGTCAGAAATTACAATTACAAATTATTGTACATTGAATTCTTCAATAGGGTTTGAAATAAGAGTACTTACGTATTATCCCATTGACTGTTTTTGCTAAATTTAGAAATATTTCAAATTTAAATATCTCTTTTTTTTTACAATAAGTTATACTTGTATTTTGTAAATTTTTTTAATCAATTGTTATATTAAAATAAATTTGAAAAATACCAAAATAACGCTGGTACGATATTGACAAAAATATCTATGGAATAATACATAAAATACCAAAATAAGTTATGATACTGCATTGTGATTGTAATCATTTGCATTCTGTGTACCTAAAATTTCAAAGTTCTCAAATTTAATCAAAAAAATAAAATATCTTTAATTTATGCTGAGGTATGTCTCATGGACTTATATTTTCTTAAATAGGTTTGTAGATTTTTTGAGTTTAACATCAAAATCCTACATTTTTCTCATCAGACAGTTTTTCTTTTTTAATATTTAGTTATCAATAACAAAGCAACGTAAAGATATATAAATTAAAATTTCTGGTAAAGTCATCTCTCAAGTTTCAATAGCATTAGTAAATTTTATCAATAAGTGTAATAGAAAGGCTTTTCTAACATTAAAAAAATAAATAATAATTTTAATGGCTAGAGCTATTATTGTTCTAAAATTTAAGAAATCATCTTCAGTAAATTAAAATTTTATAAACTTCCTACTTTTTACCACAGATTTGTACTTAAAAAAATAAACTATTCCTTTGTTGAATTTCTTTTATTTATTTTTAATGGAAATTAATAGCTTTATTGATTTATTTTTTTTATTTAATTTATTTGTAAAGTAACATGTGTTCATTTTGTTTTTTGTGGTTTTCAATTAAATGAAAGAATTGTTATTAAAAAGTAATTCAATAAATTTTGTTATTAAACTCAAATTAGCACATATTTGTTTAAAATGTAACTCAGATTTGAAATAAAGTTTAGAATTTTATGTTGAAATATCCATTTAAATAATACTAGGAACGAATAAACTGAACATAAAAGTTTTTGCTGTGAATTTTGGAAAAATTATATCATTTTGAAATAATGTAATAGATAACATCGTAATAGAGAATTCTTACAAATATTTTAGTATTCTTCCACATTATAGGAGTCCTACATTTGGCTGATAATTTGACTTGGCCAATTTTTCGACAGAGCAACATTGTAATAGATATGGTTGGCCTATTCTATCATTTGTAAGTTAATTAATCAACTGTTATTTTCAAATTATTATAAAAAAGCTATTTTGAAATAAGATATAATAGGATTGCTTTTATATCTGTAAAATATTAAATGTAACTTAAATATATTTTAATTGATAAGTAAATATAATTATCAATTTATAAATTATAAGCATTGATTCAATAATCATTACATTTCTTTAGGTTAAGAAAACTTATTTGTTGATAGTGATTTATGATTTTTTTTCTTCTTCTTTTGCACTATATTTGACTGAATTTTCAGAAACTCTTATAATGCATTAGTGCCTGCATGTTATAACTGTGGTCAGCAGTTGCTAAAATATAAAGATGAACTAAGCATTTTAAAAAAAATTCCAATATAATTTATCTGTTAAGTGATCTTTGTTAAACATACAATTCCATCGTACGATATTATCTTTATTGTCTAATAAAATGTTTGCATTTAAATTCATTTTTCTTTTTTGTGATTGTATTCAAAGAAATAACATCTTTCCATCCAATAGATAGAGGGTAAAAATTTGTATTTAAGATGATCTATATGGGTGATTTGTTAGACAGTGCGATTTTCAAGTGAGGTAAAACATGATTAAAAAAAATTTTAACACCAATTATTAATAAAATCAATTAGAAAAATAATTTTACTGTTTCTTCTGAGAGAATTACTGATGAATGAATACTTTCAAAATAAAATGAGACAGTATTAAATCATTCAAATTAACCATCAATTGTTCAAAATATTAGCAAAAAAAAATTTTTGTTTCTCTGATTGGCTATTTAATATAAACAAAATTTTCCAACACATTCTAAAAAATAAAAAAAAATTTTAATTTTTAATTGTATTTCTGGAAGAAGAAAAAATTTATTTACTGAAAATATAATTGAAGTTCACTGTAACACGGTTTGGGTCTGAATAGTTTATTCTTAAAACCATTTTGATAGAGGGTTAAAAGAGAAGATTCTGTAATAACACATTTTACAAGTTTAATTATTGGTTTCAAACTAATGTCACTAATCGTGTGTGTGAAACTTTTAAGTGGTAAGAAAAAGTGATTCCATGATTTTTGACTCTGAAATATAAAATGGAAGATTTAATCGTAAATAAAAATATCTTAATCATTCTATGAAAAGAGCCCCAAGGATTAACAATTTGCCTATTTAACTAGGAATTTTCTCTTCAAAACAATTTCCGTGTTATGGGTTTCGTGACATTTTGACTAAATGCTAAGAAAAAAAGATGTATTGCCTATATAAACTCAGATATCTAATTCATTTCTGCCCAACTTATATTTGCCATGATGAATTTTCTCAATCTGTGTCTTTTTTTTTTTTAATGCTCATCCTTATATATATATTTTTTTTGTACTTATTTTAAGTCTGAAAGAGATTAAGTTCAAAGAACTTATATTTTCAAAATATAAAAACATAATTTTAGAGAGCTTAGAATATTGCTACAAAATATTTGAGTTAAGTCCTATTTTGTTAAATACAAAGCCAAATGCCTAGTACATTCTTTCCAATCCTGTTGCTAAGGTTACAGCTGTTTAGCATTCAGCAAAATTTTAGCGCTTCTTGTAATCTATTTTAGTAAAATATAGAAATATTAAACAATTTCAGGATTTGAACCCTGTGTAGTATGCCTTCTATTGTTAACAGGTGAAGAAGAAAAAAATTAACATTCTGTTATTGTACAAACAATTATTTATTTTTCTTTGATATATCTATGTTAGTTTTTGAAATCTAGAAGGAAGAAAAACAGGTTAAAAAAAAATTCTTTATCCAACATTTTAAACAAGCGTATTTACACATCACTGCTTGGTATAGGAAACAACAAAAAAAAGTACCAACTGAAATTAAACCTATTTGTATATTTCTCTTGGTATTTTTTGTGAATTTTTTTTCTTTATTTAATTTTTTGATTATAAGTTTAGTCATTCAATTTGTGCTAAATATTTAATTTATTTTATATGGTCTTTTAAAAAAATGAATAATCCATTTATGACATTTAAAGAGAATAATAAATAATTTAAAATATTTGAATTATTCATTAATTTAAAATGTTTTACTAATAAATCACATTTAATTTTCAATCCTTAACTTTCTTATTTAAAATTTTCCTTTGTAATTTTTTTTTTTAAATATTACTTTAGTACTTAACTGAAAGCATGCTGATTTAGTCAAAAATTATCACCTTTCAATTAAGGCATTGCTATTTCAAAAATGAGAAAATTTGGAATGAGCATTCTATGTCATGAAATTCTGTAATCGTGCATTCTTTGTCATGAAATTCTGTAACCCTGTATTTTTAACTGCTTTCTCTATCAAAGTAGTCAAAATTATTACAATTCCCAACTGTTAGTTTAATTTGAACCCAAAGCTTATATAAAATCTAAATATTAAAATAAGAAAATTAAAAGAAAAAAAATTTGATTTAAAAATTCACCCAATCTTGTTGTTTTTTAAAAATATCCTTCCTTTTTCCATAGGAAATTTATTGAAAATATACCAGGGGGTCAGGAGTTCTGTTGCTATTGATACTTGGTAAAAGCCAAATGAAACATGAATGAACAGTATGAGTGCCACTAAAAAAAGCTTTTAATAGAACTTATTTTTAAATCAATGATCTTAGCATAGTTGTGTTTAGCAGAATTTGTCAGAAATTTATAGCTCACTTTCCTTGAGAATGGTCCACAATATCAATAACTTAATTACTTTTTCAAAAAAATACATTTATTGTTTTTGATCTATAAATTTAATATTTTAAAAAAGTAATCCTAATTTAACTTTCTCTGCATTTCAAACTGTTGGCGGGAAAATACAAACTCGTGCACATTTAGATTTAAAAATACAAATTTTGTTTACAGAAGAAGATCATTGTTGTGTGACATCAATACTAGATCATTTTGCAGATTTAAAAAAAAAAATGACTATTTCATAAAAAGTAAAAAAATCTTTTTACGTACGTAAACAGAAAATAATTGTTAACATTATTTTGGAAGCTTAATTTAAAAAAACAAACTGAAAAATAAATATTAATTGGAGAATAGAATTCAGTCCATTAATCTTTTCTCAAGACTGATTTCAGTCTTGAGAAAGTGAAGAACCCAAAAAGTGAAGATTAATTTGAAATAATATATTTTTACTTCATTAAATCTTAGTATCAACCACAAATTTAAATAAAAAATGTCCAATAGCACTTAATGCTTGTTGATGTCGAGTAGGAAGTGTTTTCTTTTCACCAATAAATTCTATTAAATTGAAATATATGTATGTAGCTCTTAATGTAGTGTTGCAGTAAATGTTTTAGCATTTAATGTATTTTGAAAACTTAAAAGCTTATTTAGTAAAGCATTTAATGAGGACATACTTTTTTTAAGCTAAAAAAAAGACAATTATTGAGAAAATGTAATGATACTCCTAATTTTTCATGCTGTAAAATTTTAAACATCTAATATTAAGTACCTTTATTCTATTACTTTAAAAAAAATGGGACACAGTGTAAGATGCTGTACCTTATCATAAAATTACCTTAAATATTTTTAAAACTCTTTTTATTTCATTTCTGTTTGAAGCAAGTTAAAACTAAACAGCATGTACAGTTACACAATGTAATTTTATAATTTGAAATCAAAGCAGTGTTAATGATTATTTTTAAATAGAAATAACACAAGTGGTGTACAGAATTCCAGAAAATAATAAGCGTAGTTAGCACATCAGTTGGAAAGGTTTGGCCATCTCTGATACAAGATATTAATACAGAATGTTATGATATGAAAATGTATTTATAAATGTGTACTAAAAATTAAAACTTTGTTAATCTACCATGATTTTTTTTTTACTAATGTAAAATTGTATTTGAAAAAAAAAAAAAAAAAAGTTTGGTCCCACCCAATGCCACAACATAGAAATGCTTGAGCCAGATAGGAATGACAAGTTCCAGAGTTGTGTGTCCAAGCACATTGCTTGTCCTTTATTTATTTATTAGTATTATGAAAACTTTGAAAAAAAATTCTTTTGGGTTTTCTCTATAGGAAAGAATAGGCAAAGTAACCATCTAAATTTTCATTCCTTTCTTATAGCTGATAACTATGTGAAAAGACAGTTGATTAGGATTTTAGTCAAGTGGCTACATTTTTATGTTTCAAAAACCTCCTGTTTTTTTTTTCATTTGTCTAATTTTATGTAGGAAATTATTTTTTTAAACTTAAGCATTGATTATTAAGTTTTTTTTTTAAAAAAAAAAATCAAATATATGAGGAAGAGTAAAAAAGTTCTTGGAATTCAATTTCAAATTATTTAAAAATAGAGCAATAATTTTAACTCTATTGGCCATCAATTTACTTTCCTCCTGCATCCACACACTTCTCATAGCGTCCAAATAAGTGTTCAAAACACTCCTGGGATCCATTCTCTGAGAGGTCCTCAAATTCCTTTGTAGCATTTTCTATCCCCTTATCTATATCCACAAAACTGTGTCCTTTCATTTTCATCCATGGAAACAAGTAAAAATCCACTGGTGTTAGGTCAGGAGAATAAGGAGGGTGTTCCAGAGTGGTAACTCTGTGTCTGACAAGGTACTTTTTCATAATATGGTGGAGAATTGTCATGTAAAAAAAACCTATCATTTGCTGCCCATTTTTGTCTGATTGTATCCCATAGTAGTTTAAGGATTTCCGTGTAAAGTTCTTTGTTGTCCTTCAGGAATAAATTCATAGGGAATGGCAGCTTAATAATCGAAAAACACCTCCGACATCCCTTGACTTTTGTCCAAGCAAAATTTTTCTACCTGATGTTTTGTCTGAGGGTCATAAAGAAAGCACCATGTATCATCACCTGTAATGATTGGAACACATGTAATGAAGCAGATCATCTGCGATGGTTGTGCAACCTCCACAAAAATACTTATTGTGGGTAGAGTAGTTACTGACCATGTCAACCTTCATCTATGAAAAGGTACCCCGACATAGAGTCGAGTTAACATGTCTTATATACTAGTGAATTGTACTTGTAATTTTGTAGTAGTAGATACGCTACACTTATCCCACTTGTACACAGCTGTTTTTTTCATGGCATCCTTTCATGATTTTTTTACGCATCTCGAGTATCTCAGACAGGCCCGTAGCCAGGGGGGGGGGACCGTCGGGACAAATCCCCCCCCCCGAAATTCTGGGATTCAAACTTTTTAGTCTTTCTTTAAGCCTCTCAGTAAAAAGAAAAACAAAAACTGTCGAATAAAACCTTTTATTAAGCATATTTCGGGATATTCTGGTTTGTCCTAAGAAAGTAATCAAAAAATTTTCTTCAAATCCCCGTCGCATGTCTTTGTAAACTTTGTTTACAAATTGATTATAATTATTATGTAATATTAATTGAAAAATAACTATTATGTAATATTTTTTAATTACTAGTTTAACTTTCGCAAACAACAGAAGAAACAATATTTGTTACTGTGTTTTCCCCCTACATTGCATGTCAGAAACTGTCCTTGCTTCTTACCATATCCCCCCCCCCCCGAAAAAATATCCTGGCTACGGTCTTGATCTCAGAAAGAGATCTCTTAAGCAAAATTTGATGTTTACCTGCTGTTCTACATTTCTAAGTCTGATGAATGAAAAATTCACTTTGTCAGAAATGATCTGTAGCTACCACCAGCAGTATTAAAAATGACTTCCAGATGGCTGCATGTTTTCATCTAAAAAATATATTTCCCCTTCAACAAACACTAGCATAAATATAGGCAACCATTCCCGGCAATTTTTTACTATTTTTTTACATATATTTAAACTAAATGAAATGTTCTTTAAAATGTCTTTTCATATATTCGAGAACTCCCACTTTCAAGTTTTTCTCACAAAATTTGCTACCAAGTATTTTGTATATTTACATTCATACCAATGTGCTTTAGGTAATCCATTATGTTGGCAAGGATAAAATAAAATAATTTTTAAAATAAAACCAGGCAAAGTTTTATAATAGGTGTAACTTTAAAAAATGTAATGTTGGGTCTCTAAAATAAAATTGTAACATTTAATAACAGACACGAGGTTTTTGTTTTTATTAAACAATATGTACATATTTGAGAAAAAATATCATATTTGAATAAAAATAATAAAGACTAATTTTATTCTTTCCATCGATGAGCACAATCTACACACTTATAGAATGTTGTCATTGGTTCATCAGCAGAACGAGTCTGTATTTGAAGAAAATAAGCTTTCGGATGACCACATTTTGGACAATTTTCTTCAGTAGTTTCCACATTTTCCCATGCTTTAGCACCACCCAAGACATCATCTACTTCTTTAAGTTTAGGATACAAGCGACTACTCAAACGCTTTCGTACAATGTAGTTGTATGGGCAACTTCCACACACCATCCGAAAGTTATCCTTCCTTTCTTCAGCGGTCAATATATTTCCACAAGTAGGACAGAACATCAACATTTTCAAACAAGTTTGATGTAAATAAGTTCAAACTAATTTGATGACCACAATCAGGATCTGTGTAAGGCTGAACACTTTGCCCAAAAATAAATCTAATGAACAACTGGTTCTCTAAGGGTGATCTTTCTTTCTACTAAACACATAACCTGCAATAAAAACAAAATTTTCTTACACATAATGCTTTGTATAGTACAAAATAGAGTAAAAATGGGAAGTTCTTTAACATAGAACCAGTGGAATGTGCTCTGAATCTTTTAAGTTGTAAACATTGAAGATATTTTTGTATCAGTAGCTGTTTACACCATCTACAATCATCAAGGTGCAAATTTTTTAATTGATTTTTAAATTGCAAAAATCTTTTTAAAAAAATACATAGAGATTTGCCCAGGAATGACACCCTCTAAGTTGATCCCCTTATGTGATATTTTAGTTTTTCGCGAGCCACACTTTGGAAATTGCTTTTTGATGTCGGTACTGATACAGAAATCTCTCTGTCACTAATAATACAAAAAAACATAAAGCAAACTTTTATAAAAGTTTGATTCAAAACAAAATATAACTATTAAATTTTACAATTAATTTGATGTAGGTACCGACATGGAATTCTCCTCTAAGCAGTCACAATGAAATAAACTTTTTAAAATTATAATTCGTAATTTCTGCTTACTGTCATAGTCTTTTAATTATTAAAAACATTGTTTCTTAATGTTTAAAATGATTCTACTTGAAGAAAAACAAACTTCATGGTGCATAGTTAAAAATTTAACTACCGTATTGATTAAACCAATTTACCTTAATTGTGCAAATCGTATTCTAACTTTCCCAATGCTTATTTTATGTGAATTATTTTACAGAAAAGTTACAACAAAAAATGCAATTGGTAAGCGCTATACCTATAACATTTCTATTGCAAATATAAGTTCTTTTATTTACACATTCTACTCCAAATTATTTGATTACACACAGAAAGAGAAAAAGGATAGCTGCTCTTTCAGGTGTGTAAAGTTTTTTTTTAAAACAAAATACTTACAATGGCAGTTTAGACAATTGAATCATCCACTGAAAATTTCAAAAAAATTATTTAATTATATTTAAGGCAGGGACAGAAGCATTAATAAACATATCATTTCGAATTTAATCATTTTGCTGAAGCAAGTAAATTCTCCATTTTATTAATGTATCTAATTTTTTTTATTTATTCAAATAAAAAATAAAACAGAATTTACTGTTTTTCATTGGTTACTTTGTCACTTGCATCTGCAAAATATTATTACCCATACATTTACGACTCATATCTATTCAACAAGACATTCAAATTAAAAAAATATATATTAATTTTAATAGTACATTAGTTACATTTTATAATCAGGAAATAAAGACAAAGTCGTAGAATTAAGTTTTTATAAATAGTACAAAAAAATTTTTTTTATGTAAGTGGATGTAATAATAATATGAAGTAACTAAGCATACTTTTATATGTATAGCAAACAAAAGTGTACTATAATATATTAATAAATTATAAGCTCACATGAGTATACTGCTTGTAATTGAAAACAACAAGTGTTTCAGGATGGATTTTGAGTAAAAAGGGGCTTGATAACTATTTTCATTCTATTGCTATGAACGTTAAAATCGAATTTTAAAAAAATTATAAAAAATATTTATTTTTTAAAAGTTATTACTTTTGCAATTGTAGCTTATTATTTAAAAAAAAGCCAAATACATAAAAATCTCAATTTTGATTTTTTTTTGTTGCTACATTGATTTTTCAATTGCACAGCAGTTTTTCTTTTTCATCAAGTATGGCAGTGTTTCCCAAAGTGTGTTACGCGTACCCCCAGGGGTACAGGAACAATTTAACCGGGGTACGCGTTCTGTTGCAACAAACGAAAATTTCAAAATTTTTTACTTAAAAACAAAGCTAGCCATGAAATGTTACGATGACTTATTTTTCTATAGGCTATTTTTTGCAGAGTTAATAATTAGTGGTGTCAACAACCAGTTGTGATTTTTAACTTTGGTGAAATTTTTTTATAGTAAAAATAAAGATATTTTTTAAAAAAATATATCTATTTTTTATGAGTGGTACACAGCGTTACGAAAAATTTAGAGAGGGTACACAGAAGTCATAAGTTTGGGAAACACTGAAGTGTAGGATTAAAAAGGTACCTACATTTTATATCTTGAAACAGTAAAAGAATAGTCTAATTTTTATTAGAGATGATTAATTAATTGTGATAACAGGTGTCTAGTATTAGTACAGTAGTAACATGCTTTGTACAGCACCCAAAAATGGAATGAAATCAAAAATAATGTTATTTAGAAAGATTATAAGAAAATTAGTGCAATAAAAAATATACAATTAAACACTAGCCAATAACTATTATAAAATAGGAGGGGGGAAATAGTAAATTTGAACAGCAATTTAGTATATTTAAACTAATAAATAACAACGAAAAATACTTACATAAAAATTTAGAACACATAATATATAATAGGAAATTTAAAAGATATTTATTTAACGCCAAACAAAGAGTACATTTTAGTGGAAAAGTGTAACAGATAACTACATCAGAATAACTACATCAGAATACAACGATTTTGACTGCCTCTTTCTGTCGGAACAAAGTTCGGCTAAATTAACCAATAAACTTTTTCTTACTCTATCTGAGCTATATACTCATAACGTAACTATATCATTAAGTCTCGATTCTAACGTTTATACCAAATAATCAAATCATTCCTTTTCCTCTTTTCGCTAGTTACTATCCCAGATAAGAAACAATTTATTTATTTCTATGATGATTTTTAAATAACTTAGTTTTGCACTTGACAAAATATTTTTGGTGTATATTTCTCCAAAAAAACTTTGTCGTACGTTATGTCTTTTATGAAACAGTTGTGTTTTTTAAGTTTGGTTTCATTGTACAAAATTAATTGTGATGAATTACCAAACTTTGTATTCATCCTTACTGATGATCAAGATATTGCGTTAGGTGGAATGGTAAGATTTTGGTAAAAATTTACAATACGGTGCCTCTCTTATTTTGGTGACTACTTACGCACCTGCAGGAAACAGGGAAATGACTAAAATGTGAGATTTTTTCTAATAATGAGGAATCTAAAGAGAAATAATAGGAAAATAGACGACTTTATGTATAGTAAATGCTCCAAAGTACAGTGCTGAATCAGAGGGGCACTTAATTGTACACTCAGACCAAGATTTCATATTATTTGATTAGGGTGACCCGGGGTAATTCACAATCACTCTGTTTCTGGGGTAAATAATAATCACCTAAGTTTTATTTTAAAAAAATATTTTTTTTTTCTAAATTTGAGACATGGACCAAAACGCTTGTACACTTTACTAAGGTATAACTACATTTACTTAATAATATTTTTTTGTTTAATCTAACAAAATAAGTATCTTTTAAACTGCTTTCTGTATTTTCCATTTCAAAGATGGGTTTCAAAAAGTGCACATTTCTGCAAAGATCTCCCTCCTTCTCTTAATAATAAATATTTTGAGTTACTTTCTTTTTCTTTGATATGAAAATAGTGTAAGCTCTTGTTTAATTGTTCCACATCTACTGTAAACATTATAATTGATTATAGGAAACTATATCAAATGTTGCCCCCTACAGATGGGGTAATTATTGATCACTGGGGTAATTTCTGATCATTGTCATTTCTTTTCATAAATAATATTAAAATAAGCTAATGAATAGCTAATTGTCTTTTCTTAAGTAACAGTTCATATTTATCAAGTTGAACGACTATAAAATATATTTGAACTCAATTTAATCGCAAAATTTGTTTTTAACCGTATGCTAGACAAATGTGTTCCGATTTGTCGTACCTTGCTTCTATCTTAATTTTATGTGTGTACATTGTTAGAATAATTTTTAAGTTTATAAATTAGCCTAATTTAAATATGGTGTGAAATTATAAGCCTAAAAAGGATACTAAGGTTCTAGAAAGCAAAATTAGTTCTAGTAATTAAAATTTCTTAATTAATAAATTTCTTCTAATGATTGAAAATGAAAATTTCAGTGTGAGAGCTGCTGCCAGAGCTGTTGACATACCTTACTTAACTTTACACTCTCCCTTAATGAAGTTACAAAATCCAGCAAAAGTAACCCATGTGGAAACTCTTTCTTATATTCCAGCAGAACATGAGAATGTGTTAGCTGCTTGCCTAAAATGTATGGCACGATACAAAGATTTTTGGAAAATTTAAAATGTTAACCTTTATTTTTGCTTTTTAAATAAATTGTTTTATTAGCTGCTTAAACATATATTTTTGGTTCATTTGTTTGATCTTGATGTATTATTTGTTAATTGCCACTGTATAATTACTTTTAAACAGCCCCTTTTTGATTAAAACTGGTGATCAGTAATTACCCCAGAAGTGATCAGGAATCACCCCAGGAAGGATCAAGAGAAGGGATAATTCCTGATCACTAAAAATTTAAAATATTTTAAATTCTAATTAGATTTTTAAACAAAACAAGGTAGTCTAGGACTCATCTCACGTAGCTTCAAATGTCCAGTAAATATTATAATTCTATCTTGAAAAGTTTTCTTACAAAATAGATGTTTGCATTTTTTGATCAGGAATTACCCCAGGTCACCCTAAAATTAATTAAATTTTTTCCCTGTATTTCAAAAAACTTATTTTATTCTAGTTTCCGATGAAAAAAACTCATTCTTTTCTTGCAACTTACGGAGCTGAATTCACGAATATGGTAACATATTTTAGTTCTTTCTTTTTCATTATAAATATTTATAAAGGATATTTCTGTATTGTGACAGTCACTAAGGTGCCAAATAGATTCTAAATTTACAATTTATTTTAAACAAAAACCCCGTGGCAGAATCGCGGCGACACAGCGACATTGTCGCAGAATGTTGCTGAGTTCTTGCAGAAAGAATTTTCTGTTAGGAAGAAAGGAATTTGGTTTTCTTTTCTGCAGAAATTTTTTTTTCTTTATAATTATATTTAAAAGATGCCTTTTTAGCACATCAGAGAGGAAAGAAATGTTCCTGATTTTTCTATTCTAATTTAAGAATGAAAAATATAGAATAATAAAGAAAAAAATTTCTTTTCTGCAGCAATGTTGAACGATTTTTCCCCCTCCAGAAATCATTCTTTTGGCACGCTTATTTTGCGCCAATATTCTTGTTAATCCACGCTCTATTTTCATATTTTTAAAAGAAACAAATCCCGATGTTTTTTATACAATTTAATTATACTCGAAACTGAAATCAATTATTTACTTTTACTGTGACAATTTCACCGTTTTTCGGCTTTTTATTACATGTGCTATTCTACTGAATTCCATAGGATTTTTAAAATTCCTGTTATTTTTTAGTCAATATTATTTCTACACGGAAAATTTAAATTGCGCTATTGAATAATCTCTTTTTGACGTTCTCACTTTATGCCTATACTACCACAAATCCATGCAGTGTTTAGATTGTATTTTCGGCAATTTATTGATATTGATTTTCCCGTGATTTTTAAGTATCCCGTTATATTTCTGACAATATGGGGAATTCGAATCGTGCTTATGAATATTTAATTTTTAAAACAATGATTCTATCGTTTTTCTTTTTTTTTGGGGGGGGGGGCATTTATTTCACAGTCTTTAAAACCCTGTATTTTAAATACGATATTATTTATTACAACAACTGAATCTCGAAACGAAACTTGCATTTAGTACCCCCCCCCCCCTTTGAGGAGTCCGATTAGCGTGATTTCGCCGTCGATCTTGTTTTCAGCAGTCACTGCTACGGATTACAAGATTTTAAATTTTTTTTTTTGATGAGATGTTTTACGGAATGCGAAAATGGAAATAATTATTGTGTTTTCTTCGTACAAAATGGGAGAATCTCGCCATTGTATTAGAATAATATATAAAAAGAACATTACATATTCATTTAAAAATTAAATACGATTTTTATTTTATTCAAAAGTTTTTTTTTTTATTGTGAACGCAACGTTTCTGTTACTTCAAATTCAATTAGTAACATGCATACTTGTTATCATTAAAAGCATCTTGCAGAAAAATATTAGTGCTAGAGAGGTTTGTCGCAGAAATCCCAAGAAAATTCTGCCACAGGGAACAAAAACATTTAGAGGCTTGCCCGGGGTGGTTATGAATTATACCTTTCAAGTTGGGTTTTTTTAAATTTTATTGTATTGTGACAGTCGCTAAGGTGCCAAATAGATTTTAAATTTACAATTTATTTTAAACAAAAACATTTAGAGGCTTGCCCGGGATGGTTATGAATTATACCTTTCATGTTGGGTTTTTAAAAAAAAAAATTTATGTTTTTAGTTTCTTGTTGCCAAGACTTGGAGATTATTCTGCCACAGATCACGATGTAGAAATATCCCCAATTTATAACCTAATAATAGAAAGAAATCCTTTTTTAACTTGATTATAGAACTTCACTGTAATTGCACTTTTAAAATTTTCACTGTAATTGCTGTACTGTATTAGCTGTAATTGCTTACAATAAATATTCGATTGTTTTATTTTCAAAGCTGTTAGTATAAATTTTAGTAATTATTTTTTTAATAAAACTGAACTCAAATTATAGAAGTGTTTGATATATAGTATGTATATTTTTGTACTTTAAATTTTATTTGTACTTTCCATGTACAATTGCTTCTTTTTAAAAATAATTTTAATGAAAACAGTATGTCATTATTTTTATACTGTTTAAGAATCTGCTTAAATTAGAAGCAAATTTTTTCTATATTCTTTAAAAATAGCTGATTTTGTATCGCTAGCGAAGGCTATGATAAACTACTTGAAACTTTTAATTTTGCAGAACTGTTCTATATGGTTCAAAACTTGATTCAATTTTTTAAAAAAATGATAAGAAATGGGATGAAGTTATACAGTAATTCATTTAAAAAATTGCTAATTTTCTTTTTTTTCATTCTGAAAAAAAATTGATCATGGCAGAATTTGGCTATGAAATTTCATGTGCAAATATTTAGTTCTTATTAATTAAAGCATAATTTTAAAAATATTTGCAATTTTATGAAAAAATGCATATTTATGTACCCATCTTATGTATTAATGAAAAAGACATTTATGTATTATGTTTTTTGTCTATTTAGTTTGTTACAACACCACTGTGTTGTCCAAGTCGAGCTAGCATTTTAACTGGAAAGTATGCACACAATCATGGAGTAAGAAATAATTCCTTGCATGGAAATTGCAACTCTAAAGCATGGCAAAAAACTCACGAGCAAAAATCATTTATAACTCAATTTAAAAAACATGGATATTCTACATTTTACGCTGGAAAATATTTAAACCAAGTATGTGAATTCACAATTTTGTTTTTGATTTTTTAAATAAATTCTAATGTATGAACTATAAAGCCTGTTCTTAACTCTAAGTGAGATTTATTTTTTTATTCAAGAATCAGTTATAATTTCGTTTTAATACTGAATCAAAACCGGTTTAATAATGTAATACTCCATAAATGATATCCTCTTTATAATATTTAGAAAAAAGATAAAATTAGTGTTTTTTTTTATTTATACATTTTTTTTTGTTACTTTAAATTTTCTAATCAGAAAAAGAACTATTAAGTTAACATTTTTTTATATCTTTATGTTGTGATATTTTAGTATTTTAAAGCTTAAAATTTTTCATATCTTTACAAACTTATTTTATATATTCTGGAGACTCAATAGATTTTCAATAAAATATATCTATATATTATTTTTAAACCTTTCTTAACATTGCACAGTTGAATATGTTCATTGCCCAGATAACATACCATTTACTAAATTTGGTGTATTTTGAATTATTAGAATTAAAATTAGTCTAAATTATATATATTGCATTATATCTGCATTTAAATAAAGATGAAACAATAATAATTAAATAAAACATTATCTTTGTAATGATAATTGAAAAAATTTTAAAATTCTAATTTTTACAAGTATTTAAACAAAAGAAAAAACAGTATAAATTTTGTATAAATTTTCTGATTAGAATTTAAAATTAAACATAACCAGTTCTGACAATTTTTTTAAAAACAAAAAATACTTTCTTTAATTATATATTTAAATATGTATTATGCTGTTAATAGTTTGGTTAGTTTACATGTTAACATTATGTTTCAGTATGGTACTGCCGCATCTGGTGGTGTGAAGCACATTCCTCCAGGATGGGATCAGTGGGTAGCTTTGGTAAGAATAATATTAGATTATATTTTAATTGTAAAATAAATTTATTAAAATTAATTATAAATTTATATTTTCCATTATCAAATTAAATTTTTTTTTAAATAAAAAAAAATTCTTATTGAATATTGGTTTTTGAAACATGGAAAATAAATTAAGCTAAAATTTAGTTGCACTTTCCTTTGAATAAAAATTTTAAATCATATATCTATATATTTTTATTCAGCGTGTAATATGTTATCTTGCTTCTCATGATTTGTAAATTATTGAAAAAATTAGAACTTAAGTTTGATGTACATCCGAACCTTAATCCATCCTTCCCACATCTTTTGTTTACCTATCTGTATCATCTTATTGTAAGGGTAATGTCACAAATTTTACTTCTATAATATAAATTATGACTGCTTGAAACTAGCAGGTTTTTATGTCTATCATTCACGAATTCTATTGACATTTAAAAAAAAAAGTTGGTTTGTTTTGAGAAAAAGACAGTCACTCCTGATCTGGTTTGGAAAGTTTTTGAGAATTGATGGTTTTATCAAAATTTAACCGATGGTTTAATCCAACATGTCAAAAAACCCTTTTTGTCATAGTTTTTGTCAAGTGTCAAAAACCCAAAATTTTAGTGTAAGGATTATTAGTTTTATAAATAAGAAGTATTTATAACTTAACTTAAGGAATTCAGACTAATAAATATACAAATTGGCATATGTTTTTTTAACATGAAAAAATTTTGCAAAGTGACACATTTTTTAACAAAAGGTTTTGCAGGAATTTTTTTAAACCAAAAATTTTTCCATAGCTGCCTGAATTTCCTTCAAAGCTTTGTTCGTGTGGTCTGACATATCCCTGAATATAATTAATAACAACATATATTAAGAATGAATTTTAAAAAATTATGCGTTGATATCGAATAATTATTGGCAAACACTTTAATTTTATGTAATCAATATTCAGTGACACTAATTAAAAACTCATAATTATTACCTGTAATATAAACCAAATAGTTATAATATGGATCTTAAAGTATTAAGATTACCATTAAAATAGTTTTAATAATTTTGGCAAAATTTTTTATATGTGATATACAATATAAATCATAATTATCATAGTATCCCAGCAAAAANCACTTTAGTACAGTTGAAAGTGACTTTTGCCGGCACAGACCCGTCGCTTTAGCTGGTGGCAAACAGCAGTTTTGTGGAGCTGGACCTACAGATTTGTTTTTGCTGGGATATAATGCAAATGTTGTGTATGATTCAATATCTAATGAAATGTCTCCAATTTCAAGAAAGAATCTTGCCCTAGGTTTTTAACGTCTTATTTCAAAAACCAGTTTTTGATGTCAAGAGCCCCGCCCTTCCTCTTGCTAATAAAGAAGAAAATGAGGATTAATTGCAGTTTAGGAAAATCTCAAACATCATGTTTAATGTTTATGCAGCAGTTGATAAAAATATTAAAAATTGCAGTGTTGCCTGTACAAAAACATATTGTGAAAGCTACAAAAGTCCTGAGTGATACTAATGAAGACAGTAAAATAGAATCACAACCAGTCCAAAAGTTTTTGTAGTCTTTAAAGCAATAAAGATTTTTCTGTATAAACTTGAATTTAAAGAAAATGAACAGATATCTTTTACAAATGTCAAGAATTTATTGTTTGCAATGAGTTAAAAAGAGTATGTTCAAACCCAAATTTCCAAATATTTTAAATAAATAAATTTCTTTACTTATCTTTCTTTTGCATCGAAAATATTTTTGCCATAAGTGCATAATTTTGTCCTTTCTTACATTTTTTTACATTTATTAATTACAAGTCCTTTCCAAGTCTTCAATACTTTTCTTGCATTTTCAAGCCCATTTAATATTTTATGTTGACCTGCTTTCGCTATTTTCTTATATCTATCAATGGAAATAAATGATTGAATGAGAAATGATTGATCGAGGTTCTGCTTAATTAGTATTAGCTCACTTTACTATAAATTTTGCTGGTGTTTAGATATTATTAATATTGTATACCATCGAACCCCGCTATAGTGAACCGTCTGCGGACTCAGTAATATGTCCACTATAACCGATGGTTCACTATATCTAAATTTTTTGAAGAATATTTTTTGCATAAGACAGTTGAATGATTGAAAATTGGCTTTGCAATTTTGCATAAGTTATTTAAAAAATTATTAACTAATTAACAGATAATAAAGCAAAAATTGATGGAAAAAGTAATTACGTTGCTAAATATTAGTTTTATTTTCACTTTTTATGAAAAAAAATTTTGATTTTTGATCGAGCACAATTTGATTTTAAATTGAGTTCATCAATTTTCTTATCTACAATGTGCAAAGAATGCAAGATTTTTACATTTTGAAAAAAATTTCGAGCCATCTTGACAAAGTTTTTTCTACGTTTTCTCTTTCAGCTCCACACAATTTTTTCGATGAAACCATGTTTTTGTCGTATGCCGCAAGAATTGCACTTCGATTTTTCCAAATGTTTGAAACTGTAGATTTTGACAAGGAAAATTCCTTACACAGTGTCGATTGATTGGTTCCATCATCAATACGCTTTACAATTTTAACTTTGTCCTCTATCGAAAACGCTTTTCTCTTTAGAGAATTTGCCATTTTCACTGCTTTTGAAATAAAAATCTTGTCTCAAATAGATAATGTAAGAATATGAAGAGAGCAGCTGTAGAATGAGTTAAATTGTTCCCCTTCTTGATTGTCAAGGGGTGATTTGTAAAGAATATGGTTTGAACAGATAAGAAAATTCCAAAAATTCAGCAGGTGGCCAAGTTAACTAGTTGTAGAGCAAGCTTGGGGAAAAGAGATATAGCGAGGCTTGTCAGGGAGGGGGGAGTATAAGATAAATGATCTGTTTGACATTTATTACAGTATAGTTAAAAGTGATAAGCATAAAGGAGAGTAATATGACACATTTTATAGGAATGCATTCATTTTCAGTCCCAACACCTACAAGTTTAAAGATGGAGGACTGAAAAAGATATTTAAAGAAATGAAATTTGAGTCCACTATAACCGAGTTTCCAAGTTCTAAGCTGTTCACTATAAGCGTTAAAAATAACATTATTTAAATAGGAATACGGACGGGACCGCTAAAAAAGTTCACTACATCCAAGTGTTCACTATATCCCAGGTTCACTATAGCGGGGTTCGACTGTATTTTTTTTGGTTGGCCTAAGCTTATTAATATTCTTTTATTTTATTTTTGTAATATTGTTATTAATGTCCTATAAATGAATATTTATTCCACTTATTTGAATAGATTGACTTTTTAAAAATTAAATAAATTGAAATTAAATTCTCTTTAAAATAAATAAAACAAAGGACTCCAGAATATAGTTAGTAAGTTCAAAAATATAATCTTGGTTTTCATTAAAAAAATTTTTTTCATTGAAATGTTTAACCTGTTCATTAAATTTGTAGAAAAACATTTTCATTAATTTTTCTTTTAGGTTGGAAATTCATGTTATTACAATTACTCCCTTTCTGTTAATGGAGAAGAAAAAACTCATGGCTCTAAACCTGAGCAAGATTATTTAACCAATGTTGTGGTAGTGGCTTTAATCTAATTTTTCCAATGGATGCTTTAAAATATTTGACAAAATTATTTATACTCAATGTTCTAATTATGACTTTACCTTATCTACTCTTAATTTTCTTTCGTTCCTTTTTTTTAATTGTTTTTTTTCCTTTCAATGTTTTATAACATATTCCATTAAAATTTTAAATTATTGTAAAAATTATTTGTAAATGAAAACTATAATTTATTTTAATTTTTTTTTTTTTTTTTTTAAATTTAAAACCATTTTTAAATTATTCTGATTCTGGTGTTTTGTTGGTTGCTTGAAATTATTAAAAAATATGACTCTTAATGATTTTTATTTTGTAGCATTGGAATTATATGAGAATCAGTTAGCATCATGTCATATAATGTTAATATGGAATTAGTTATACAACTTTATAAAACTAATTAAAACTGGTTTTTTTCCCCTTACAGAAATAATGTGACAATTATGTAGATTTATTTTAATTTTATATAATATGTTTAGATCTCTATTGTTGACTTTTTTATAACAAACATATTCATGTTATTTTATGTATGATTAATTGATTAAATGTTTATCTATGAAACATAAATTGAATTCTTTTGAAGTTTGAATTCTTGGACTAACTGCATGAATTTTGCTGCTTTTGGCAGTTAAACAATTATATACTGTTTTTAAACTTCTTTTTTAAAGCAGTGTTTTTTTTTTGGTTATGGCTTTAATAATGTTTTTTTTTATATATAATAGAAGCATAACATGGTTTTTAATTTTTGCTTTTTTATTGAATATATATATTATAAATAAACATCTTCAAAATTGTTTAATTTTGCAAACCGTAAAGATGTGCTCTTAATAACATGCCGTGCTACCCGAGTTTTTAACAAAGGTACAAAAATCAGTTTTCAAATAAGATATTAGAAATTTGTATTGGAAATATGACAATCCTTTAACATTTGTAGTATTATTAACATTTGTAGTATTATTAACATTTGTAATATCTGGTAGAAGTCATTTTACTATAATTTACTGATAAAAACAGTGCTGAATGCATAGAGCTAAAAAAAAATTTCTTGAATTTTGTAAATGTGTTTTTTATGTTTTTTAATGACTGTGTTAGGCTATAGTAGTAACTAAAATTGTTTGTTATTATTGTTTGTTATTAAATTTATTATTGTTTTTTTTTTATTATTTGTTTTTTTTTCTATTGTTTGATAAGTTATAGAAATCTTTATTTATCAAAGTAACATTTATTTTATAATGAAAAAAAAATTCTAAGAGTAAAATATAATCTTAAGTATACATCTAAAGTGCTGAAGTGTATAGTTTTCTTTAAATTGATATGTATATATATTGAATTTTCTGTTTTTAGTTTGAAGAAGGACTGAAATTTTTACATATTCAAAATGGGACATCACCCTTTTTCATGTTTCTATCACCTCCTGCTCCGCATGCTCCTTTTACACCATTTCCTCCCTATAAAAATAAGTTTTCTTCTTTCAAGGCACCAAGAACACCTAATTTTGCTATTCCAGGTGGACAGGTAAACTTTTTTTTTAGCATTAGTCATATAGTTTTGTTACAAAAATTATAACTTTTTCTAGTTTGCTTAAAACATTAGTATAATTTTTTTTTGCTCATTCCTGTTCAACATAAATTGATTAGATATATTATTTAAATAATATATCTGAGAATAAAAATATTATTTAAAAATAAATAATTTTTATTCTTTGTAGAAAAAAGAAAAATTAGGAAGAACCATCCCTTGATGTTTAGAATATGTATAACTTGTAATAATATATATTATATGCTGTAGTATATATTGACTTTTAGTATTGTTTCCGAATGCTATTATTAATTCATAGTGAAGTATTAAGTATTGTTGATTTTTTCTGTTGGAGAATAGTTTCCCCCTTTTTCTTCAATAAATGCCAAAATTTTTTACAGTTTTAATGATTTGATAAAAAAAAGGATAAATATATAAATGACTTTGATTAACTGATTTTCTTTCTTTTTTTTACAAAATAATATATATATATATTTTTTTTTAAATTGAGCCATGAATCATTGAATTTTTTATTAATTTTTATCATTAACAGGTGGTGTTAAAAAATTATGTTGCATTAAAGATAGACTTAAAAATTACACAGCAATTTTTTTTTTGTTTCCTTCCAGACCTTTCCAACTGAGATATTTGTATTGCCTCTAACAAATCATTATTTTGAAAATATTGTTTTATACTTTTTCTTTTAACAGTGTTATCCATTAACCAAAAAACTTAGTGAGAAAACTTTTTCTTGTTTTTTAAACAGAATAGAGCAAACTGTATATTTATATTTCATCCTGTTTTTCGTTAATTTCTATTGAATTATTGGTAACTTTTGGAACAATCTTTATATTACTGAATATACTGACTAAAAAAATAACATTGGTGATAAAATCAATGCATGAGAAATGTAAAAATTTTAGACATTCAATAACTGTAAAAAAATATATCCTCTGTCATTCCTCCTTTTTTCATTTTGTTAACACAATACTCGCTGTATCTAAATTTAATTTTACAATTCTGTGTATAAACAAATATATATTTGAATTATAAATAAAATTTTATCATTGTAGGATTGTGGAAGAATTAGCAATTTTTATTATTAGGAAAATTAGCATTATACTCCCGAGTGATTGAAAAATCAACACAAGCCACATGAAATTCAAAATTGAGATTTTTATATCGTTTGCATTTTTATATGATGAAGCTATGTACTACATAAAAAAAAATTTCGAAAATAATTTTTTTTTCTTTTTTAAATTCTATTTTTAGAGTTCATAGCTTTAGAAATAGAAAGAAAATAGTTTACCATCCTCTTTTCTTGATTGAAATCTATCGTGAAGTGCTTACATTGTTCTTTCAATTGCGCAGCAATATAGATGGTCAGACTCGCATAAGAGGTTTTGAATGATAATTTATTTACATTCAAAAATCTGCTTAATTGAGTTAGTCTTCCTGTAACTTGAAAAAAGTTGTTAGAATTACTGTAATTTAAGTTAAAAGAGATGTTTGCTGCCTTGTAAACTACATTGTAAACGAAGTTTTTTTTTTTACAGATTTTCTTTCAATTTTTTTAGAAAAAACATTGGTTGATTCAGCAGCCACCTACACCTCTGCCAAAAACTGTAATTGATAGCATTGATGATGTTTTTCAAAACAGGTTTGATTGGAAATTAGAAAACCTTTATTTGGTATTGTAGTCTGTAGTTTGAAATATTTGCCTTTGCTAACAATTCAAATTAAAAATTTTACTTATTCTGCATGTTTATGATTACTTGAATCCAGGGCTCGAAAAAACTCAGAAATTTTACCTGTCCCCAAGGACAGCTTGCCCAACAATGTACCTGTCCTCCTTTGAAACTAACCCATAGCTTCTAAATAAATAAAAATATAATTTTCTCTTATTTATTACAAACATTTATATAAATTGCACAGTATATTAGAAGTTACTAGGATTACAAATACTAGGATTATATTATACAGTAATAAAAGAAATACTAGGTTACTAATAGTAACCTAGTATTTCTTTTATGAAATAATTTATTTCTTTTATGAAGTAGTTTAAATGACAAAAGTTATCTGGAATGTCAATTTATCCGAGTGTACTGCATTTTTTAAATGAATCAAATATGACGTTTGCCAGTTCCACAATCAAGCCAATGATTTACAGAGGTTTCTGCACAGAAATCTGAAAGAGGTTTTCCATTTAGGTAGATGTTCATAATCACGTTTAATGCTGCTTGTTTAAGACCAGTACGTAATGTGTTCATTGCTGAAAAGCCCTTTTCAACTGCTGCAGTACTCCCAGACAGAAAAAACATCAATTCCACCATAAGCAGTATGTTGCTGTATTTCTAGATTAGAGGATCATTTTAGAAGTGAGGCGCTAGACTCTTGTAAGATAACAAAAATTGAAAATGTATCATGAATATTAAAGGGAAAATGGTCGTCCGTGCGGACGTCGGATTCGAGAAATTTGTTGTCTGCAAGGAATTTTTGACCGCAGAGGACAGGTGGTTTTTCGAACCCTGCTTGAATCTAAACTGAACTATTTGAATCTATCTGTGCTTAATCTCCATTGTTTCTTGAAATTTAGCAAACTATTTTTGTGTGTATAAATTTAAGTTGCTTTTGGGAAAGCCCTGAGAAATAATTAGTTTAAATGATTGTACCATGCAAAAATCATATTAATAATTCGCTGATTCATTGGAAAGATCTCTTCATTTTGAAAACTATCAGCACACAACTGATCTGTGAGATTTCCTTATTTGGTATTAATTAGGTGTAGCTGTTAAAAACTGCATGCTGGCTAATTTATACTCAGGCACAATTCTTTTAGTAGGGGAAGTACTAAGAAGATTTTTTCTAGCAAATGCTTATTATTTTTAATCATTACAGTTGTTGTAAAGCAAATTATTTATTTATTTTTCTTTATCAGAATTTTTTAATGCATGTAGTTTTGTTATTTTTTATAGTTTTATTGCAAAACTGCATACTTAAAATCCTCAAAAATTATTTAATTTTTTTTATTTTTCAAAATTTTAAATATCAAGTACAATAAGCAGTTGCGGTGCTAAGTATTTTTCTGGAACTTAATGGTACTTTAATTTGTTTAACAAAATTAAAATTCCAACTTGAAAAGTAGTACTTGGTGTATTATGACCTCACTATCTCTGGCTTTTCCTTTTTTCTTTGACATGAAAACACTACCATTTTATTGTGAAATATTAAATAATATAGTTTTAAATATAGATTTAATCAGTTTTTTGTTTAAATATCTCTTATCCACTCATAACCTTGTGAAATATCTCTTCATTATCTCTATGAGAAAAATCTTTTATTTCTTCATTAAAAAAGTCTTCTTCCCCTTATGCTAATTACTGATCCAGGGTTTAAGAAGTTACAAAATTAACTTAATAAGTGCTACTTCAAATATTACTATTGTTATGGGTATTTTTTAATGTTCTCTTGTCTCTTCTTTGTATTTTGTTGTGTATATAGTTATTCCTGTAATTGAATTATAAATTATGTTACTTTTCTTTTTATTTTCAGTCTCAGCCTATTTGATAGTCTTAGAAAATTAAGTTCTTGCCGTTAAAATAATTGTTTATAAAATTTTTATATTATATTTCAAGTTTATAGAAGTTAAGTACTGCAGTGAAAATGGTAAGATCCAAAGTATCTTTTAATATATATCTTGCATTATAGATGAACTCAGATGCATGTAGAACATCATTTAGTTTTTGTTGGGGAGAAAATTAGGAATCGATATGTTAACACATAAATTATTGGCTGGATAAAACATTATTACATTTTAGTATACTGTATTTTTTTTAAAAGAATATTTAATTAAAATTAACAGTATAAGGATCATATCAAGTATAACAATTTACCTACTAATTCTTATTCGTGTAATCTTTTTAACTAGTTTCTAATTTAATTTCTATAATTTTAGGTGGAGAACTTTACTCTCAGTCGACGATTATATCATTGATATCCTTCAGCTTTTAGAAAATAAAAATATGTCAGAAAATACTTACATAATCTTTTCATCTGATAATGGATTTCACTTAGGTTAGTACTAAAATTATTTATTTTAAGTAATCTTAGTCAAGGTTTATTTTAACGGAAAAATAACTTGAATCCTATCTACACCAATATTTGATTAAGGAGAGTTTCAGAAAGTTACAAAAGTTAGTTTCAAACTTTTTTCTTAGCACTGATAGAATTTTTCTGAATAGTATTTTACAGTATTTCTATTGCCAGGAAAATCAAAAATTGTTAAATGTTAAAATACATTTTCAAAGTTTTCTCCAATCAGGGAAATATAAAATATTTTGCTTTATTTATCATAAATAAAAATATATACATGTTTAATTTAATATCCTTATTTAATTGTAATATTTTTTCCACTTTTTTTTTATTTGCTGTTGTAAAAATTTTAGTACGTCAAGGTTTATGTATAAAAAAATTTTTTTAAATTTCATTTGAGGACAAGCCCTATTAATTTTATTTTATAACCGGTATTTGATAGCTGACCCAATTTTGAGTTTAGTACCATCAGTGTTCAATTCCATAGTCTTGTAATATTGAATCCAAACCAGAAGGCAAGGAGACTCCTCTATCAAGTATTGGTACAAACTAGCCTTTGAGGAGGACTTTTTGATAGAACTAACCAGCATTTGGATTACAAGGAAAGGAAAACCATGAAAACTTCCCACTGTTAGCCAGCTGGCTAGGGGATTCTTGCCCATAATCTGTCTACCACTGAAAATATTTTATGTCAGCACTATAATCGGTGTAAGCAAGAGCAGAATATGTAAAAACCAGCCACCATTGGGATTTGAACCTGGGTCATCTCATTGGGAGACAAATGCTCTAACCTCTAAGCCACTGCGAGTTCTTTCAATTAACAAGCCCTATCAATTATATTGACTTGTATTTGTTGAACATTTTTAATGGCAGTGTAATGCCAAACTAATATCTAATAAAATATGAATATGTTTGTGCAGGCCAGTTTTCCTTGCCATGGGACAAAAGGCAGTTATATGACTTTGATATTAGAGTTCCTCTTTTTGTGTCAGGTCCTGGAATTAAACAGGGAATTAAAATTGATGTAAATATATTTGCATTTTTATAATTTTTATTAGTAGCATTTGGTATATTTTCCTTTCTGAGTTTTAAGATAAAAATATTTATCTGTATTTTTTTTACAGTATCCAGTACTTAATATAGATCTGGCACCAACATTTCTAGACCTTGCAAATATCCCATTGCCGAAGGATTTTGATGGAGAATCTTTTGCACCTCTTTTAAGGAACCAAAACCGTAAAGTCAATAACCGTCAATCTTTCATTATTGAACATCAAGGAGAATATAGTGAAAAGTCTGTTCCAGGCTGTCCTCAATATCAAAGTGGAGAAGTCCATGTAATTAGTTTTAATATAATGTAGGGATCATACAACTTAATCTTGAAAATCCAGAGGATTTTAAATTGGTTTAAACAATCACAAAATACTCAAGGAAAAGGAAAATTGAAAAAAGATGTTAAGAACCTAGAAAATAAAATTTCAAGAACTTTTTTAAGACTTTTTTTTTCTTTCCTCATAATTGTTAACTTTGAGATTTTATAAAAACTTATTTAATGTAATGTTAGTATCATTTTTTATAAATGCAATTAAAAATTTAATTAGAATTTTGGTTTAATATTTTTTTTTGAACTATACTCAAGGAATACTCAAGAAAATTGAAAAAAGATGTTAAGAACTTAGAAAAATTAAAATTTCTGGAACTTTTTTAAGAATTCTTTTTCCTCATAATTGTTAACTTTGGGATTTTATAAAAATTTATATGTAATGTTAGGATCATTTTTTATAAACACAATTAAAAATTTAATTATAATTTAGTAATAATAAATAAGTTAATAATATTTTTTTTTGAACTAAAGGTCAAAGTTTTCAGGTGATGGATTACTGATAAAAAATCATTTGGTTTAAATTTTGTGAATTGTTGAAATCCAAGAGTTTAATTTGTTGGTGCATTAATATGCAGTATGTCTTAATCAAATTTTGCCAATATGCATTAGATTTGACTGTTTCTTCTCAAACATTTTATCGAAAGTAAAAATACTCTTCAAAAATCATTTTATTTAAATTTTTAGTTTGTTTTCCGTGATGTCAAAGATAATCCTTTAGAAAATCAATCAATGAGTGTAGAGAGTATGACAATGACCCATTCCATGTATTCTGAATTAGGAATTAATTGCTATTCTAACATTGATAGGATAGTAGTTTTGCAAGGGTCTTAGCTATTGAAAATAAATTCAAATCTAAAATACCAGCTTTGCTGTAATTAAAGGACCATTGCATATAGTTTTCTGAAGAGCGCCTTTTTCATGTCACCAAAGGTTGTAAGATTGTGAAAACATAAAAAAGCACAAAAAATTTCAAATACCATCTATTTTATAAATAATTTTTGGAAGTAGAGTAGAATTATGTTTTTAAATAAATATTTAAACAATAATTATTGTATTTACTTTATATAATTTATTTGTTCTTATAATATAGTAATCTTCCCATGTTGTATGAAAATTAGACAAATAGCAGTAATTTACAGAGGTAATCCACGTTTTTAAGTCACTTCCTCAAAAATTAATCAAAGAGTGTAATTAGTCTCTAAAGATATTTTTTGAATATCATATGTAATATAACATAACCACATACGATATGAACGTACAGTGTAGCCTCCAGGAAAGATCACCTCTGTGTAGTGACCTCCTCGATTTATGACACTTTTCGGAGGTAAGTAATTTTTGATGATCTCTGAAAGAGAAGGACAACGGCATGTTGCAGTCAGAATGCCCTAAAAGCAATCTTATCAATGATTAATTTTTAGATTTGGAAGTTAAATTAGAAAAAGAAATCATTTTCAAAAAATCATCTCAAATAAACAATCCTCTTCTAATTTTTTATTAAAGTAAGTTTATTTTCATGGTATAAAATTAAATGCAAACTTTAAAAACATAATTGTGTTTTTATTTAATATAGTTCTATAATTAATAATTGATAAATTCTTTTTACACATAATTATATGAGTTGGGGTTGTTTTTATTGATGCTAAGTTTTGTTCATCGAGTGAGTTTTCATGACACCAGCACAAGGGGTATTTCTGTGCCAATAAAATGACACTGTGTAAAATTAAAATCGCTTACAAAAAATCATGTACCCCTGATAAAATTTTGAAGTCAATGGAGGTAACCACTAAGAACAACTAACCTCCATTACCAACCATTTTACTGTGGATCAGAGACTGGTCGCTCCTGAGAGGTTTCACTATGTAATGTAACTAGTATATAATAATATATAATGTAACTAGCATATAGTATGAAGAAAGGATAATGATTTTATATTAGTATTGATTCATATTTAAATTATTCCCGCTTTTAAGATTTTACTGTTGTTTTTTTGTCCGCCTATATTATTCTCGTGTTTTTGCTTTTAACTAATTCATTGAAAAACTGCATGCTTTATTTTAAAATTGTTTCTCTGGTTACTTAGGGGACACTCAGATAATTTTTTCCCCAAAAATTAAGTATGAACCCTATAATGTAATCAAGTATTTTTTATATTTCGCATTATATATATATTCTTTTATTTAAAATTTATTTCAGACTTGTGAAATTGATTGCATTTGTGAAGATTCTAGGAATAATACTTTTTCATGCCTCAGACATTTGACGAAATCGAAAAATTTTATTTTATGCATTTTCAAGGATGATCTGGTAAAGTAAAGTTTTCTTTTATTTTCTGTATATCCATGATTTTCCCAGTGTAGCTTGTATAATTGAATTTGAAAACTTACACTATTTTTGCCTTTGACTTTTGTTTCTTTTTTCTTCATGCATACATTTATGTTTACTAACATGGAAAATATACATTTTTATATTTTATAGATAGCTTAAATTCTTTGTAAGAAGATTATATATTGTTGAAAATAGTAATGACTTAAATTTAGTGTTGTTCCCAAACATGCTATAACAATAAAAGCTATTTCTTTATATTTTATAAATAATTTTCTATTCATTTTTGAAATAAAATATTTTCTGAAAGGAATATTTTTATTAAATAGAAGAAGAATTTTAGGAAAAGGAAATACTGTTTATAATATTTATAATTATGTTAAAAAAATATTTTTAAAAAGAGAATATTTGTTTCATAAAATACACATAAAATTAAAAAAAAATCTAATTTTTCACTTCAGATGAGCTGTTTTAAAAATCATGTCATTCCTTTTTTTAAAAAATATGTAAATAAATAAATTAGTTTTTAACAAGTAGTGTAGAAAATAAATTACTTATTTTTTTCTGCCTAAATCTATTTACATTTTTCTTTTCTATTTGTCACTCACTGATGATTCTGAAACATTATAATAGTAATGTTAATAAAAAACATTAAAACTTGTTAAAACTATATATTTTTTATCCTTTGCTGAAAATACATTATATCATTCACCACTACTTCTTCTTCAGAAAAGAAAGGTTATAAAATTGAAACATCTTTTTATTAAATTATATTAGCTTTACATAATAATAGCTCATATTCACATAAGTAATTTAAGTAGAAAACAGCACAACGAAATGAGTTACAAGAAAGAAAATAAAAGAGCTCTAATACTTTTATTCTAAATTTTTAAAATATTCAAAAAGGCTATTGTTTTCCTGTTTATGCATATTTCAACTAATACTTTGCCTAAAATATTTTTTCTCATTATATGACTAAACAAAATAAAAACGCCATCTGTTCATCAATGTTTCAAACAAATTGTTTTCTATGTTTGAATGATTAAAAAATTAACATAAAATTTTTAATTTCAGAATTTTGGAGAAGCCTACAATATTCTTGATGATCCATTTCAACTGAAGAACATATATTTTAGCTTAAATAAAAGTTCAATTTTTAATGAACTAAAGACTATACTGAAATTTTAATGATTCAAATAACGTTGAAAGATTTTTTATTAGTATTTTGAGGATGTTTAAGTGTTTCACATTAAAAGGAAAACTTAGGTGTTTATTAACACTTATTTTTATACTTGCATAAAACTTAAGCATGACCTGTTTGCTTTCTCTTTTATTTTGTAAGAATTGTATTATTTATCAAGCAAAGAGTCTGAACATATCCCAAATTTTTTATGTTTTTATTTACCTGTTAAAAAAAAATTTTAATCTTGTTTTTTTTTTTTTTTTTTTTATATCNTTTTTTTCTTTTTTTTTTTTTTTTTTTTTTTAATCCTCATTTACAATTTGCTATTGTCTGTGTCTAAACCATCATGAAGGATTTAAAAAAAAATTTGCCTAACTATTTACGTAAACTCTTTATCAGCCTGTGATTTTAGTATAGACAGCTTAGTGACTGGTGAATCAAAATCATACTTTGATTATTAAAGTACTATATATTTTTAAGAATAAATCTTATAATGTTACTTATTATTTTATTTACAATTAGATTTTAATATCTATTTGTTGTTTTATTGTGTATATAAATACAAATTGTACATAGATGTATTTTGAATTAAAATATTTACTTAATTTTTGTAAGAGCTTGTTTATTGTAAACATTTTATGTATTAGTTGTTTAAAATAATAAATAAAATATAATTTTAAAATTGTACACTTTCTGTAAGTAAATTGTATTTTCTAAAAAGTATTATAGAGCATTTAAGAATTGATTGAAACTTACAATATCAGCAAACAAAGATTTTCAGTGGAGGTTTAATTACTCTAGCTAATTAAAAAATCAACTGAAATTTCATTGATGACTTTCTATTTGGCAATAAGATGATATTAAAAGGTATTTATAGCAATCAGGAACCACTAAAACTTGTATTGTCATTCATACCGTAGCTCCACTTAAAATTTAAGTGCTCTAGCTGGTCCTTTTCAGAAAGTGAATACATTGTCCTGTATGTGAATTGCATCAACAGAGATAAGGAAAACCAGATTTTCTATACTTCTGGTTAATTTAAGAAGAAATTTTGAAAATCGATAATTTGGGAAAATGGGAAATTGTTGAAACATTAGATCGATTGATTTATTCAATAAATTTACTTAATAATATAATGTCTACTGACATGACCTGCTGAACTCGACTAATTTCAGAAGATTGCCAAATACTTTAAAGTAGATATAATGAAACACACAGTATATACTTTTTGTAGCTCTAAAGAGGACACTATACCACAGGAGACACTTTTGATTGCAAATTCTGTTTCTCTCTATAACTAATTTAAATTATAAAAAAGTGAGTTCTCTCAAATCTAGAGTTATGAAATATCAATTGCTGAAAAAAAAAAATTTAAAATATCAAAAAGCAAAAAATTCTTCGACGAGAACTTCCACATTACATAATCCTTTCATAATTTATTTTCATTTTGATATTTTTAAATTTTTTTTTTTAGAGTTTGAAACTTCATCGCTTACTCTTGTTTTGTCTGAACTAACTTTTTCTGTACTTAAGATTTTAAACTACTCATGGAGGTGAAAGTGAATTTGAGATGAAAAGTTTCTCCTGTGGTATAGCATCCTCTCAATAAAGTGGCATTGAGAAGAGATTCGTGAAATATAAAAATTTGTTGCTGTCATTTGGAAGAATTTTGTTGTTAGTTTTGTCCCTATTCACAGACATGACATTTTACTCTGGGTACAAACCTTTACTTTGAAATTAAACATACATTAAAGTTTATTCATAATATAGATCATTGTTTGAAAAAAGTATTTTTTTTAATTAAAAATATTATTTATTAAACTAATTTATTGTTTATTTTATTATTTATAAGGCTGAGAAACAGTGAAGAGTGACTATCCATAGATATGACATATCTCACCTGTAGAAGAATTTTGAGCAATAAATTTAATATTTTTTTTTAAATTTACAATTTTAATGTCTACTGCAAGTTTTATTAAGGTTTATAGCCTTTTATTATTATTTTTTAAAAACTTTAAATTATTCTTTTTTCTTAGAATGATACACGATTTTTATTAAGCAAAAAATGCTCAAATTTTAAACCAATGAAATAAAAGTTATCCTTGCTTACTTTCTTATAATTAAAAATAATAACTAGTTGGTATTACTTATTTAGTCATATACACAATACAATTCAAAATACAAATGCAACAATGATGAAAATTGAAGTGAAAAATTATAAAACATAATTCCACATTGTAACAACACCAAACTGCTTATGTCACAAGTGGAAGAATATTTGAAGAAAATTTTTGTGAGATGAAATAAAACAATCAAAGTTACTGACTGCATGGTAATGCCACCTGACAAAGCTACCATATATGTATCAGTGCCTTTACTTTAATTTCTTATTAGTGTTTTTCCTTTTTGATTTTTAGGACGTTATTTCCTCATGCAAATTTTTCGGCTTCTGCTATTGTGCTATTTTTAAGGTGGTATTTAGTATGTTTTTTCCTGTTATTATTTTTTGGTTTTCTCCTGTTATGGTAATCTTTTCAGTTCCTTGACTTATTTTGTTTTATTTCATTTAAAAAAAAAATCTTCAAATATATGTATGTATAACAGAATATATAAGTTCAAAATATAGAGGAAACATGAAATTTCTTTACATAAAACTTATTAATATTCTTCATTTCTCTCTTTTTTTCTTTTCTTTTTACCCTTTTTGTCTTTATTTATTGTGCTATATATATATTCTTTAATGCTGAAGGGTTATAATACTGTAGTTAGCTGAATGCGTTACTTTTAAAGAGCAGTTTTTTACTGAGATAAGTTGTATAAAGTTAAGAAAACGTACGTATGTATAGAACTTAATCTTAAACGCTGTAACAACAAGCTATGTACTTATAGATAAAAGTTCATAAAGATTGTCCTTTAAAAAGTAAGATTGCTATTTTGTAAAAATTGTTTTTAAAAAAAAATCTTTTTTTAAATTTTCAGTGCTACTATTCTTTAGCATTAACATAAATATTGGAGTAAAACTTATTATGACACTCATAGTTCAGTCAATATGCAGTTGATCAGGTGAGCTTCTTGCTATCTTTTGTTTTGATATGCTGAATAGGTTGAAATGACTAATCTTTTCTAAGCAAGTTATTTTTATTTTAATATAAGCTATTGAGCTAGGAGGATTTTTAGGAGAGATAATGATAAATTTTTACTTAAAATTACTGGAAATAAAACTAGTTGAACTCTCAGGTCATGAAAACAACCTCAAGATACGTGAGATAATAAACAAGGCAGTGAAAAGGGAGGCATTACTGATAAAATTGAGAAAACTCCTCTAACTTGTTCTGAAGCACCTAATTGTACCCAAAAATTAAAATGTTATGTTCCTGACAAACAATCTGATATTTCTGAAAAAGTAATAAATCACTGTTTGTATTAATCTCTATGTTTGCTGCTTTCTAAATTCTAAAAGACTGTGCCAAACAACAAGAGATTATAATTACAATAAATATGTATGTGAGTGTAATTGAACAAATTTTAAAATGATGAATAAATTTTAAGTTTGATAACTGCATACATTTTTGTGTACTGACATTTAAAAAAATTATTCATAAGAAACATTTTACATGTCCCACTAACAAAATAAAATTTTTAAGCTAAATTTTAAATTTTGTAAGAACTTGATATTTATTCTGGTAATTAATCTCATATCTAAAAATATACATTAGTATGTTCTCTAAAAAAAATTTCAATACGACGTTAAAAAAAAGTTTAATTACATTTGTTTATATAATATTTTCATAGGCAAAAGAATAGAAATAAATATATAAATTTAACATGCTATAAAAAAATTATAACAAGAAAACAATGAAAACCCTTCTATAAGTTATCCACTGAAGTATCAAGAGGACTATTTACACACGTTTAACGTACTTGACTTTTATTTTTTAAAAAAAAGAAAAAGGTACTTTATTTATGTCACACTAGAACTGCTCAATAGACTATCTGCAATTTTTTTTTAAAAATTCACAATTTTTAAACTCAGTAGTCTGAAGATAATTTCAAAATAATAAAAACAATCAATTAGAGATAAAGGTTATTTTTATTTACTTAGTTAACGAAATTACTATAAAAATGCTTTAAATATGACATGGTGATATTTTCTTTGGATTTCATATTATTCTATATTTAAATAAAAATTTGAAAAAAAGTTGCCTGCTTTGAAATTAAAAGTAACTTCATTGTATTTTTTCATAACACACGCTGCCTGGAACAGTTGTAATTGAAGATATTAGAAATAATTATTTAAATCTTTTTTTTTTTCATTTGAAAAAGAAAAAAAACTTTTAACTACGACAAATTTTTCATTATTTCACAAGGAAGTACCTCCACTTCTTTCCATATTGATACATTTGGTCTGGTACTATCTTATAATGGAACAAACTTTCTTGCATCCAGGAAACATCCAAAGAAAGTAATAATATACCTTAACTGGTGATAAAAGAAGTCTTTTGATTGAATTTATTTTATTTTTATTAATGTAAATTTTTACTTCTTTTTTTAAAATTGCTATGCTGAACTTTCGTTGCATTTTTTTAAATTTGATCATACTAGATAAGCTTGTGAAATGCTATTTTAAAAGCAAAATAAAAATAAATGCCATTAATTTTCTGTTTAATAAAACAAAATCATCTTAAAATTGTTAAATAATAGCAATGTAGTCACAATGAATAATTCTTTATCTAAGAAACAAGTTTCTACTGTGCTTTGTGTTTTTAAAATCCAGTCATGATTCATATTCACGCAATCTTTAATTCCAATGTCCTGACTCATATTCACGCTATTTTAAAATCCGATATCGTTTTATTAAGCGAGGCAATAACTTTCATCATTAATTGAAACTATTAACTATTTAATTGTTTACACAAAACATGTTTCTAAATCAGTATATGTTTAATGTATGTTAATTTATTTTCACCATAAATATAAGAGATATTTTGTATAGTAGGCCTCCTCTGACAAATTTATTTACAATGCTAGATTAGGAACAAAATTTTTTCAACAAAAATTCACCAAATTGAAAAGTTGAAATTTTTATTCCTCTCCCCCCCCCGAATTTTTGAAGAAATAATATGCTGATACAAACAAAATTTAAATTTGAGACTTTAATATTAAAATCTAAAATATTTTCATCTGATATGAAACTTCATGGTAGTTGAATAGATTATTTTTTACTCAAGTTTTTATTTGGTTTGAAAGTATTTGTGTAAGAAGCCCCTAAAATTTTTGTGAAGTGATATTTGGGAAAAAGGCAGCATTTTTTACTAGTTTAATAAGTAAAAAAATACTTTTTTATTAGTACAGTTGTTTTATTAGTATACTAATAAAACAACTGTACTAATAAAAAAGTATTTTTCTATTGTTCTATCTAAAATTTGTTATATATAGAACAAATTTTGCTTTGTATCAGAAGTTTTGGGTGCAAATCTGCAGCAAACGTATTAACTTAAATTTTAAACATTCAAAATATGTTAGTAAAGTTTTGTGTGTTTTGATTTTATTATAGGTTTCATTTTAATGAATGATATGCCTTTTAAAGTGTTACGGAATCATGACGTCTACATGTAACAGTGGCCCCCATCCCCCCAAGCTCGTGGGCGCATTCTTGGGCAAATTCTAAATTCCCCCCGAAACTGAAACTATTCGTTTTATTTAGTGTAAAAATCCCCCCCCCCAAGCTTTAAGTGGGCGCATCTTGCGCCCACCTTCCCCCCTGATGGGGGCCCCTGATATGTAAACAGCGAGAAACCGGATTTAACTGTACTAGCTAAGGTTACTTGAAAAAGCCAGTTTGTTTGGGCTCTTTTTTTTATGCATATTTCAAGTTTTTGAAGAAAGAAAAAAAAACAAACTATTTGTTGGACTTGTGCCCAATTTTTATCTTATCCTTTATCCGGAAAAATCAAAATTGAACTATAATGTTAAGTTCCATTATTAAAAATTCCGAAACTAAAGATTATTTGATTTGATTTGTTCATTTACGTCGCACTAGAGCTGCACAATGGGCTATTGGTGATGGTCTGGGAAACATCCCTGTGGATGATNTCGTTGATGTTGATTGATTTTGCGCCTTTTTGAATTAATGCGCCCATGGCATTCGCCATACTTGCCATACCCTAGATACGCCACTGACGAGGACCAATACAAACTAAAGATTAAACCAGAGACCTATTTCTCTTTGGATTGGATTGCGTAGGATAAAAATTGCTCTTTGGATAAAAATTGCGATTGCGTATAAACATTTCCCTCCAATCAGCTGTTAAGTATTTTTCCACAGAAGTAGTCAACGCTCTACGCATTAAGAAGGTGCAATCAGTTGTCGTTCGTAAATGAAAATTTTAGTCGCAACGAAGAGTAACTTTTAACAGTAGTTACAAATGTGCACCGTTGAAAACATTGTTTTCGTTTGCGAATTAGGTCAAAATCAAAACAAAGTATATGTGAAAAAGATGAGATAGTGTCATACCTTGGTCTTTGTATGCCAAATGTCATACATATTTACTTCTATTTCTTAAATAAAAGCAGAATGTAAAATTTCAAACATTATTATTCATTTTTATTAAAATTTATTGATTACGAATATATATGCCAATTAACTTCATTATCTCTAATATTGAATCTATCTCTTATTCAAATTAGAAATTATGTTGAGACTTTTGGTAAGTGTGGATAAGAAAATTTTTAATAATAAACTAAATTTTAAAATTGTTTAATTTGTATCGAACAGGAATAAAGCGATAAAAATTGATTCGTAGCTTAATACATGCACGTCCGTATTTTGTAAACTCGATTTGTATTTATAACCATGGATAATACTAGACTGGCATATTTTGCTGGTATCTTTACCTAGTAGTATATTTATTACCAATATTGCTGATACAATTTTTATTTATTCAATTATTTATGGTTATGTAATTGTTCGTTATATTCTCAAAAATCAATGTAAAGTTATATCATATTTAGTAAGTAATTATTAAAATTTAGCAGCAAAGCTAATGTAGAAAAAAATTGTATCTGCTCCCATAATAAATTTGTAACATTCTCTGTAACAAATTTAAATTACTAAAGTATTAAGTGATAGTAGATTTAATATGTTATGTTCATTTCTGATAGCTACAGTTAGCTAGAGAAAAAGCAATCAGTGCCAAAAATATTTTATATGATAGTTGAATTTTCACATTATATTTATCTACATGGCATACTAAAAGTGCCCACTTAATATACACTTCAATTAGTGCTGATGATTTAACGAACGGATTTAATGGAGTGTTTCTGATAAGATGATTGTTTTTTATTGTCGCCTTTTCCCCTGTATGGTAAGACATATAACCGGTAATAAAGAAAGCTGTGATTTTCACCATTAAAGCTATATTTTAAGAAATAAGAAAGTTTTTTCCGGTTTCTCTTTTCAATTAATTTTTCTTTCATCAGCATTTTTATTATGATACAACATTTTTTTAAACTACATTTCTAATGAACGTTATTCTTTTATCAATTTTTTCTTGAAATAGGGCAATGTAAAAAAGTATAATTAAGATTTTTAGGGTTAAACTTTTGGTTTTAAAATTAAGAAAGACTTTTGCGAGAATATTTCCATATCATGATCTGTCACACCAACTACAATCGCCAAGGTACCAAATAGATTTTAAACTTTCAAATTATTGAGAAAAAAAACCTATAGATGTTTGCCTGGGGATGGCTAGGAGTTATACCTTTTGTGCTGATCCCATTCTGTGATGTTTTTTTCATTTTAGTTTCTCAAGGGCAGCTGCCTGGAAGTTGTCAAGACTTGGGGATTATTCTACCATAGATCATGATATGAAAATCTTCCTACTTTTGTTTCTGTTTCAATCTAGTAGCTTTTTTATTCTTTTTTTAAAAAGCTCTTGTTTTTTTATTGACATTTTTATTGAAATGCAGCAATCAAAAGGGTTTTTATTTCTTTTCCTTAAGCTATTTTAGTATTTTTGCTATAAAGGGATTCTATTTCTCCCATTTTTTTTCCCTTCACCTTTTCTTAAAAAGTAATTGGAAAACTGAGATGTTCATCTTGAAAATTTTCTTTCAAGAATTAATATTGATTTTTATTATTTTCTGTTTCGCTTCTGTATACTTTTGTTTTCATGGACATTTTCATGATTGTGAGGCATTTTTAAAATCCTTTCTGATAGATATTTCTTTTACCATTTCATGTATACTTGGCTTACCTGGAAAATCTTATTCTTAGCATTAAAGTTTTATTTAAAGAATTAATAGTATTTTTTTTCTATTTCTTTTTTTCAACTTTACAATTTAAGTTATTTTTGCTTTTAATAGCTGTTAGTCAATTCTTTTATTTATCTTAAATATTTCTAATGGATAACTATTATAGTTTTTTTCCTTCATTCCATATACCAATAATTAAACTATACGTCAGTTTTTAGATTTTTAAAAATTTCACTTTATTACAGTTTAAACTGATTTGGATGATGCTAAAATTTTTTTATAATGTTAATTGCACACAAATTCTGATTTTGAACCCAATCTAATGGACAAGAGAACTCCTGGATCAGTACCCCTAGAGTTATTGATTTACTATGGGTACTTGGAGGACTTCCTGACCCTGACAGATTTCCCATGCACCAGTCATCATTTAATGTGCGGGGATTCTCTGCAAGGTTCAATTTGAACATGAGTCGAACACCCTACCACCTGGCTATACTGGCCCACCATTAGTTTATTTGTGAAAATTAAAAAGAATAAAAGCATCTTCAGATTTTTCCCTGTCTACCCCTTCAACAGTTAGATCCCTAGAGGAGGGGCCTCTTAATCACTTAGAGGGGCGTAGCATTTTTAAAAAGTACAGTGCTTAGAGGTACTTATTTTTGATTTTTAAATGCCTTTAAAGGTGTTTTTTTTTCGTTGGCTGTATTTAAAAAGTCCTTAATGTTCTCTTTTCCAAAACGAGATATTTTTTTATCATGTCGGTTTTTGTCATGAATTATGCCTAAAGCATTGTTTTCACACTATTCTATTCAATTCATTCGCAATTCATTCAACCACAATAATAATATTATTCAGATATGCGCTCTAATGAAAAAATTTTCTTCCTTTTATTGAAAGTTCATATGTATGCATATATATATATATATTTGGGGAGATTTCCGTATTGTGATCTGTGGCAGAATAATCGTCAATTCTTGCCAATTCCCCCCCCCCCCCCCNATTCCCCCCCCCCTCCCTGAGAATTTAAAAAGGAAAAGAAAAAAAAACATCACAGAAAAGGAACAACTCAAATTGTAGCCAGCCTCGGGCAAACATCTGCATGTTTTTTTAAAAAATTTGCAAGTTTAAAATCTATTCTTCACCTTGGCAATTGTAGTTGGCACGACAGATCAGGATATGGAAATATTCTATTCTTTATTCCCTTATATTCTTTTAAAAAATAAAGAGTTTAAGAATATATTTTGTGTGCTTGAAAGGTGTTAAAGAGGTACTTATTTTTTACTTAAAAATTCGGCTCTGCCCTTTGACTTAACTTCTATCTGACAAACACAAAGTTTATTTTGTTTTGCTTTTTTTTTTAAAGAAAAAAGCCTTGTTTTAGAAAGTATTTTTTTATTTTGAAAATTATATTTTAAAATAATTTTTATAATTTCTTATTTTAATTGAAGACAAATTTAATTTCAGGTTACCTTTGGTGCCGGAATGTATGCAGGGGTTTATCTTTGTCAGAATTATAAGGTAAGATTATTAAATGTCCAACACGTTATAATCTTTCACTTTACAAAACAACGGTACCACAATAACAGCCTTTCTTTAGTATGCTATGCACTGTAAATAAAAATTAACTGAGTTTGTAGCTGGACATGGAATGCTGCTGACTTTCTTGGCAACTCTGCCTATTTATGAACTGTAATTAGATATTGAATAAAAAAGTAAAACGAATTGTTGTTTTTTTTTTTTTAATTTAGAGAGAATTCAAAAAATTTGTGTAAAATTTTACATTTGAATAAACAAAAAAGGGTTTTTTAAAAAAGGGTAAAAATATTTTTTTCAATACTTTCTGCAGTCAGTTTTGTTTGAGAGCTTGTGAAGTGNTATTTAATTTTTTTTTTTTTTTTTTTAATTTAGAGAGAATTCAAAAAATTTGTGTGAAATTTTACATTTGAATAAACAAAAAAGGGTTTTTTAAAGGAGGGTAAAAATATTTTTTTCAATACTTTCTGCAGTCAGTTTTGTTTGAGAGCTTGTGAAGTGAAATGTATTTAGAAAAAAAATTTCATTCAAATTTCTGATAGTTTTGAATTTTTTTTACAACATTCTCAGTAGCAGCATTAATGCAGCTCGGCAGTTTTTCTTTTCATATTTGTTTTTGCTTGCAGCCAAAAATTATTTAATACAAACATCTAATAACAGGCTCAGCAATAAACCTTAGAATTTTTTCATTGTGTTGCAGATCTATCCATGCAAGGATTTCTGCTATTGAGATTAAACGAATCTATTCAACCAAATTGCTCCCTGAAGCTGATATATTTTGCTTAATTTTATTCACCTTTTTATTCATCAGACATCAACTGATGAATAATATCTTTCTGAGGATAGATGTTTAGAAAAGTGCAGGTTCATTTTTCACCAAATAGTAACCATTGTAAACCAAATATTGGTTATTTAATTCAAAAAATTTCCACAAATTTAGGTACCTTGTACTGTTTTACTGAGATATATTTCATTGGTAAATATTTAAAAAAAATGTTAGTTTATATATTATGTAATAACATAACCTGTTGAATCAGTTGCTCAGTGAAAAAAAAAATTTATATTTGGCTCTTTATATAAAAAATATTATATTTAGATTATATTTTATTATTATATATAGATTTATTTAGATGTAATTTGTATTTAAATTTTTCTCTAAAAATGCTCTAATTAATAATTTTCTCAAATTCAAATTTTCTAAGAATCATAAAGACTAATAACTAAGATTTTGTTATGAAAAATTAGATAGATTGACATTTTGAAAAATTCTTAATGTCTTATCATTTGCGCAAATTTAGATTTTAGTCAGTAATAATTATTTTTAGATTCCTCGTGTTGATGAGCCTGCTGAGTTGTGGAGAAAAATAAAGGATATTGCTGACCAATATAGAAAGCCTCCTGACAGTTAGCTCCTTTATTAATGTTTAGTTTGTGTATTGTAATTTTGTCAATGAATTATTTTTTTTAAAATTGTGTGTGTTAATTTTATTTTTGCTTCTGTAGTTTAGTTTAAATTTTTTTTTAAATAAACTCTTCAGTTTTGTAATAAGTTTAATTTTCAGCACTTTACTCCACTTAGATAAAATAAAAAACTTATTGCAAGTAATTTAATGACTCTTGACAAAATTTTCTCAAAAATTACTAATTTTTTAAAACTTTATATTGATTATAATACATACCAGCATATATCTATTTTTAAAAAAACATTTAGCAGTTTTTTGAGAATAAGTAAGTTTGAGAACTAGTAAGTGACTCACCTTGTTATACCTTATATTTGGCTTTCTTTGTATGTATATATAAATTCTAAGTAGCTCTGAAACATTTAAATGTTTTTTTTTAATATTTTTAATAACGGCAAGCTCTTAACTTTCGTTTTTTGCCTTGTGCAAGTTATCTGTAACCTTGTGCATTGCCCACATGCTTCTGATCTTTTTATTGCAAATTATCACCATTAAATTTAATTTTCTTTAAGACTGTAAATGGTTTATTGGGAAGTATACATTTATAATTGCAACCATATATTTAATTGTAAAAATACATTTCCTTAAATGCTATTATTTCTTAAAAAACAAAAAAGGCTCATGTTAACCTTCACCTGTTATACGACCTTGGATGGTACGAGGGGGGGGATATGATAGTTGAATTTTCACANTACTTTTTCTCCCCTGGTAATAAATTGAAAAGATTAATTATTAAAATTCTTTAACTTCCTGAGAGAAATGTTAAGAGTTATGGACATTTCAAGATTATATGCATAAGAAACATTTATTATATATAAACATTTATTTATTTAAAACATTATATAAGAAACATTTTAATATGCCCAGTTGTATCATTCAAACATGTTTTACTTTGTTGGTTTCTTCTCTGTTTTTATAGTTATTTGCTAGCCTTCTGATAGGAACCTCTTTGTAGAGATTTGATTTAGCATCACATAATTAATAACTTTTTTTAAAACAAAAAAGCTGACTAAAAGATATTGTTAAATATGGTATTCTCCCAAACATTCTTTGGCAATTTCAAAAGAAAAAAACAAGAATGATAACCATCAATGTTTTTTGCCCCCTGTTTTTGTGCCTTGTTTGATGTAACTTATTTAGTTTTTAAATATGATTTTTGATAACCTGAAAAACAAAGTATCTGATAAAATATAATTCTGTGCAAATCTCAATTAATTGAAAAACATATCCTGCTCTTCTGTTGAAGTGATTAATAACTCTTTTCTAATCTGGATAATCTCAGGAAGTAGTTTTTTTCTATAACCATCTCTAAACAGCCAATCCAATTTTGAGTTTACGATGACCAATGTTCAACTTTGTAGCCCTGTAATTTTGAACCCAATCCAAAAGACAAGGGAACTCCTGGATCAAGTATTTTTTACTTTAATTTATAACCGTCGGTGAACAGCTGACCCAATTTTGTGTTTACGACTACTAATGTTCAACTCCGTAGCCTTGTATTTTGAACCCAATTCAGAAGACAAGGAAACTCCTGGATAACTCCAGAGGCACGATTTGTTAAGGGAACATGAACTTTGTGACTTGACCAGTCACCAGATACTACACAGGGAGTCTTTCGGCCGACGGGGATCGAACCCATGACCCTGGATCAAGTATAGTAAGATGTTTGCCTTTACGGAAAATTTTTTGTTGTACCTAACCCACATTTACATTACATGGAGAGAAAAAAAAAAAAGAACCTTCCACAGTCAGCATGACAGCAAGAAGACTGACCCATGATCCATCTACCGGTGCAAGTTGGATGCTTCAAAATTAAAAAAATTTTGTATTGACACATTAACTGAAGTGAGTATTGTCATGTCTCCTTGAAGATTCAGAAACTTTTTAAATTTTTAATGATGTGTACGATAATTATAATACAAAGAGAAAACATTTAAAATTTCATAACATTTAATCCACATACTTATCACAATACAACAGTTAAAATAGAACTACATATTCTGTTATTTACAAATAACAGTCCTTTACATTGCAGTGTTAAAAAGCATCACATGAAAATCTTTTTATATTACAGTATAAAATGCTTTTATATCAAGAATGTATATTCAGGAATGATTTAATGAAAACAAAATAATCTTTCTTCCTCTCCACTTCTTATGACTTTATTAATGGTATAAAACTTATTCAATTGTGAATACTTTAACTCCTTCAGGATCGACAGAATAAGAAAAAATAAAACTTCCATAAGCTTAGATACTTCGAGTTTATAGGTACTAATCTGAGAGTACCATATCAAGATTATGTCCCTGCGATTTTTGGTCACCAGATTAATAAAGCCTAATTTTTTATGCCGTGGACTGTGAAGTGACGAGAATCGCCCAATCATGCATGTGATCAAGATTCTAAAAGAGTTAATGTTTGTACTTAATAATTATCTTATTTTAAGGTTAACAAATATCATAATTTAACTTTAAATTTTTATATAAGGAGCACCATTTATTTCTCAAATGAATAAAATGATGAATGAATGAAAATAATCTGATGCGCCAGCATTTTATACGTAATTTTCAAAATTTTCTTTAAAAATACAGACAATGCAAGCTCACATATTTTTATAATTATATTTTTACAATAAATTCTTAAAAGGAAAAGACGGGCTTTTTAAAGTTGACAAGATGGTAAGCTTTACATCTCACAATTATTTTTTATCACAATTAACTCTTAGCACATTTTTAATTCTTGAAGTTTTACAATTCAAAACACATTGTATAACATTAGCATGCAACATTTTCTGAAATATAACAATAAAATTTTATATAATACAACAAAACAATGACTAACAGAGCTCTTGAATGGCTCTAAATTAATACATCTAGTTAATTTTTTTTTAAAATCACAGTTCAATCACAAGAATTCACAACATATATAATTACATAATAAAAATTACACGAGAGTTAAGTATTGACTCCCGTCCTGGAAACAAATGCAACTTTTTAACAGATCTTAAGTAAGCAGCTTTAATGTTGTCATTCTTACTTCAGCTTGATGGTGTAACATTTTATTTTATTATCCATAACCATTTTTTCCATGGAATTATCAATAAGATTTTAAGTTAATGAGTTTCAAGATTTTTTATGATTTTTTTTTTATTATTGAACTTCTCATTTCATATTGCATTTTATTACACATGCATAGTTGCAGCTTGCTCAAATTCTTAATATTTATATGAATAATGCCTCTATTATCAGAAGCTCGGTCATCAGATCCTTCGGTTATCTGACGCCCTTTAGACACAGGTTTCCTCATTGTTATCCAACCTTGTGACTTTAAACACAACATTTAATTCAACCTAATTACTGCTGTGACAACTATTCTGAAATTTAACTGCTAGAAAACGATTAACTCACAATAGCTTTATATTTATCAAAGTTAATATGCAATGCTGTTTTTATTTTTAAGACAGTCACAATTTTTTTTGTGAGAAAACAAAAACGAGGGTTAAAGTTTTATTTTTTCGATTTGGACTAAACCATCAAAAAATCACCAGGAAATTTTAGATTTCTTAAGAGATGTAGCCCTAATTGATCCTTATTATGCAACAAAATGTTTTTTAAAATCCTATTTAGAACTTAGGACAATTATGTAATAGGATATAGGTAAAAATTAAAAACTTTGTAAATTATGTAGAAATATAAAAGAATTCGGAACAACAATAAAAAAAAATTGTGCAAAGATAATCAATTTGTGTATGTATCATAAATATTTTATTTGTGTTCTAATTATTGGAAGAAAAAATATATGTTCAATTTATTATTGAAACAGATTTTCTATCAAACATTTGTTAAGTGTTAAAAAATATAGAATAATAATATGTTTATCTGATTAACACTGCAGTTACATAACTAGGTTTAAAAAAAATTAAAACATATCAAAACAACACTAATATGTTTTAGAAATATATACAAATAACATTGGTCCCGATATAAAGTTTTTCAATTCTGTTGAAACAACATGTTTTTTTTTGTATACTGTAACTTAGAAAACTTAAAGAAAAGTTAAATTATAAATTTTTTTTTATTAGAAGTGTTCACAAAGGAGGTTACTTATAATTCTTTTTAAATATTTTCATTTTGCAGACAGTATTTGAAAGTATAAAAATGTGTTGCAATGTATCTATTAACTCTTTTATAAAATTTTAAAGCAATTTATATATTTGTAATTTATTATTACTAAATATCTAAACAAATGAAAAGCCTAATTTCCAGTCCCATTCTTGAAGGTGGTCAATGGAAACAAGCATTTGCAAGTAAAATTTAAGGGGTAAAGCCATTCTAGTGGTGAGATTAATAACTACATTTAAGGAAATTTTTTAGCAGTTCAATCAAGTATTTTTCATAAATTTGATTTATTTCTTTGTCTTATGGAAAAAAAATTCCAAGATAATATTTTTACCCACTGACATCTGGCATTTTTGTGTACTGTACCAGCAACATATGCAATTTTAAGCACATGTCATTTTTTAAAAATTCACAATTCCCCCAAAACTATGCAAAATAATGAAAAGATTCTACACATACTTCAGCAAAAATATTTATTTTACATTACATAATTTCACTTCTGCTAAAGCTTTGGATACATTAATTAATCCAAAAAAACAAATTTAAATATTTTAGATTGGCTAAACCCCTTGATGTTCAACATGGTGTCCAACTAGGCTGTTCAATGTTATGCTCAAAATATAATAATACAGATTTAAAATTGTTTGTCTGCTAAATGAATAAAAACTGTGTTGATTCAAGCAAAAATATCTCATCGAGATTCATTTTGTTAGGGTGTGTTTGATTTTATACCAAGTGTAAAAGTATACATTTCCCCTCCCTCTCACATAGAAAATTAGCTTTGAATAAATAGATTGACACTGGAAAAATAAGTTTTTTTCTTCATAAAAAAGAAAATCCTGAATTAAAGACTTTATAAATAATATCCATATAGTGTTGTAAAAATAAACTATTATAACTAAACCTGAAAATTTACTTTTCCAGTTAGTAGTCATTGGGCTGGTGAACTCAATAACTTAGTAGCCACCTTTTCTTTTAACTAATTTTTGTTGTTTGGATTAAATTATACATCTTTTTGTTTTAAAAAAAAAAATTCATATTACAGATAATTTACAGCCAAGAAATGTAAATTTAGTTAAACATACTGACTTTAACGAAATTTACTTAAAAATATTTGAGGAAATAAAAGATATTTATTGAATATATTACAACTTTAAAACATGTTACTTGTTAAAGACTCTCATTCCATGTGAATCTTTCCATCAAAAACTGATGAATACTGAAGGATCAAAATTTTGAATAGAGACATTTAAATGAAAATTCTGTTTTCCGGAGTCTTTCTACCTTGATGTTCTCTTATTTTTTTTTTATTTTTTAGTGGGAAAAAGTGCCTGTTTATTTAAATCATTACATTTTTGTTGACTAGACACTTGGCAAGAGGTTATTTTCAGGTCTAATTATAAATTTTTTACTTAATTAGAAAAATTAATAATTTGATATTTTAGATCATTATTTAAATTGGGAAAAAAAATTCTATGAACCNTTTTTTTTTTTTTTTTTTTTTTTTTTTTTTTTTTTTTAGTGGGAGTGCCTGTTTATTTAAATCATTACATTTTTGTTGACTAGACACTTGGCAAGAGGTTATTTTCAGGTCTAATTATAAATTTTTTACTTAATTAGAAAAATTAATAATATGATATTTTAGATCATTATTTTAATTGGGAAAAAAATTCTATGAACCACAAAATGTTTCAAGTACTTAAAAAAAATCACTTCAATTTTAAGCTAAAATAAAAGATATTTCCACACATCATGAAAAGGACACCAATGTTTTAATTATATGGTAATATAAGTATATGTCTCATTGATCATGAAACAATGTAAACAACATAATTATAAAATTTTAAAAAACATCATATATCACACATAAATAAGATAGATGTATAATTGGCTATAATTTTGAAACACTTTTTGTCATGCCATTTAAATTAAATTTGTAAACAAAAATTAAACAGCATTTACTATTGATACTTTCTGTTATCGCAATAAACATTTTTTCTCATTATTCCTTTCATTAGTGCCATCTGCTTGATTAACACTTTTACTGGTTGTGGGCAAGCTAGCAGGATTATTTGGTTCATCTGAAGGAACATCTTTTTCAGTCAGTACTTCGGGATCAGCTGAGACATTTGTTGGTTGAATATGCTATAAATATTTTAAATTAGTATTATGTAATAAAAGCGAGTAATTGTAATTCTTAAGCAAAATACAGAAATATGAATCTTCCAAACTCAAATAAGTGACAAATGTAAAGTATAAGAAAATTTTTTCTTGTAGTTTCTATGACCTGTAAGTTAAGATTTTAAAAATACATTCTTAGATGAGAGGATTTTCAAAACTATTGTGCTTAATTACAATCATAATATGATCGGCTAGTTTCCAAAATTTTAACAAACTGCACAGTGTGCAAAATATAAAAAAAAAAACACCTAAATAATTTTTGATACGGTGTTTGTATTATCTTCATATTTTCTATAAACTAAGCAGCTATCCTAATTATAAGAAGGTGTAACTTTAACACATTGATCGTCTTACGTGTTTTCTACAAAGTCTCTGTCAAACCAAGCAATAATGAAACACCCCAGCTCATATTAAATATAATAAGGGAAGTGTGGTTTCCTATGTCATAGCAAAAAGAATCAATATGGTGTGGAAAATTTGGTATTCAAATTCAGCTGTAAAAGCTTTGCTTTACCAAATTGTGTTAAAGTAGACTTAATATAACTATTTTCAAAACTAATAGGTTTACCTAAATATAACGAAGCTTTCTGTTTGACAAAGTCAGCATTAGACATTTATGTAAATGATGTTATTCAAATAAGAGATGTGGAAAGAAACAATCAAAGGTAAAAAAAAGCATGGAAAAAATTTTGCCCAAGATTTCCAAACCAACACTGCAAATGTTGTTTAATAAGATATTTCTATAGTTGTTCAATAGTTTTAATACATGCTATCTATGCAAATATTTTCGAAGAAACTTCGTAAATCAAATAAGTATCCTTTAAATACGAGTGATGCAACAGTCAACATATTAAATGAGGAAGATGAAATTTTAAATTTACTATAGAATCAGATGAAAAAATTTATTTTTTCCAACTATATATATTTTCTATGACTATTATTATTATTTTTTGAATGGCAGGCACTGAACTTTATTCGTTTTGCCTTAGAAGATGCCCGAGGTGTTACTCATTTCGTATTACCCAGTGGGCACCTGTGAACCAAAGTCACGGAGGCGAGTAACAATTTCTCTGACTATAGTTCTCTGACAAAATAATAAGGTAGAGCAAATCTGAAAATTATGGTCCCAATAGTTTGACAGGGAGAAAGTTTAGCCCCTTAATATTAATATCACTTTTTGATGTACCATATCTATTAAACTCTATAAGAAAACCACAAACTTTTTGCACAGAATTGTTAAACTTGTTTATCCTAAGATGATTCCAGCTAAAAAAAATTTCTTTTATAATTATTTAACAATGGTCTCAAAATATTTTAATTGCTAAGTATAAAATTTGTTACATAATTTTAATTGACGAAATCCAAAATTTTAATCAAATTGATTGAATAATTTCTGAGTAAGAAATTTTTAAGGAAGTTATATTTTTAACCTTTTTTTTTCTTCAAGAACTATTTGACAATTCTCATAAAATTTTGGTTTTAATGCAGCTTAAAATGGTGTTATACATTTGTATACTTAACAATTTGAAATTTTTTGGTAATGATAAACAATAAAATTATAAAAAAATATTTTTTCGCATGGAATTATTTTTAGATTTCAGACAAACAATTTCAACAATTATGTGGAAAAAAATAAAGAAATATGATCCAATATGCAAAAAGAAAATATGCATATTACCAAACAAGAAATCAAGTTTCAAAATATTGTGGTTATATCTTTCAGATTGATATAGAAATAATAGAAAGAGATGAGTATTTATAAATAATATTTATTTATTTTTTGATGTTAATAAATAAATAAAATTTAAAAAAAAACTGTGAAGAAAACCCAACCTATGTTTACTTATGAATTTAAATTAAAAAATTAGAATAAATTTAATAACAGATATAGTCAATAAGTTAATCATTAAGCAGTATACCACAGTTAGCTATTGTCAGGAAGTACTGCTCATTAGATAGGACCCCAATATTTTGGACTTGATCATACAAATATTATAAACACAAGAAGCATTACTTTCAAATGCTAACTTATACCTAACATTAACTTCAAAATAAGAAAAAAAACGTAAGACAGTGAAAATTACATTAAAATATATTTAATAAACAAGAAAAGCTTTTAAAAACTAAAGCATAAATTTCATTATATTCTCTCCTAAAAAAAGTGGTAAACCTGTAATGAAATGAAACTAATATTTTAAAACTTTATGATACATATCACAAAACACATATTTACAATTTTAACACCACTGATGCAACAAAAGAAAAAAAAAGAATGAAACTATAACATAACTTTGCATATCCCATGCAAAAAAGGAAATTTTAAGAATTTCTGTAAATAATACAAATGTGTAATAGAACATCACTTGCATTGATTCACGCACAATACTTCCATTACAAGAAGAAAAAAAGTAGAAGGAAAAAAATCAAAACAGCCAAATTACACGTTCATGCAATTGGAAAACGTATTTAAAACAAAAAGGAAAGTAGATCTTTCTGCAGCATTTGAAGAACAAGTTGCAGTCATGAATATCAATTAAAATCTCATAATTTAATTAATAAACTTAGATAGTCCTTAAAACAGTTTTTAGGTAATGATAAAAACTGATGAAATAGTTTTAATGATTTAGTAACAATGGAGAAAAAAAAACCATAATGCAATTTTGACTTTGTAATTACTTTCTATACAAAGTAAAAACATTTTAAGAATGAAAGCCTATATCTAATTTTGCAAATGTTTTGTTAAACTATTCTTAAGTACAAAAAATATTTATATCACCTAATGAACTTAAGCATAATTTAGGACATGTTACTTAAAGATATTCTTTTGTACTTATTAATATTTATTTTTCATTTTTTAAAAACACAGCAAATGCATATTTTTTCAGAATTATTATTTTTTACATTTTGACATTCTTTTTTATTTATTTATTACAAAAATAAGATAAAATTACAATAATAATTTTTTAAAATTATTTATACAAAAAAAGTTTCAGGTAAATAGCAGTAAAGAGATAAAAATGTTTGACTTTGATCCTGTAATATTTCTTAATAATTAAATCAATTTATTCCTAATTTTTTTTTAATGTAGTAATAAGAAAAAAAATAAAAACTTCAAGTAGATATCAATTTATTGATAAAAAAGAACTAAAATTCTGCATCAAAAAGTGTCTCACACAAAATTTGTGGAAAAATATATTTTTTTAGAAATTCTAAAAAAATTCATTTACTGAGAATTTTTTTTTTTTTGGTATTTAAATTTCCAGACAATCCTCTATGAATTCCTTACATGAATTTTTCATGGCAAAAGGTGATTTCAAAATTCAAGTCCCTGGCAATTCAAGTTTTACGTGTTGTAATAATATTGCATGAAAAGACTGTGAGCGAACCAATAATGATATCAAACAATCGCAGCATCAAAAAATCAATGATTAACTGTGTTATTTAAGTTTTGAGTGCTGTAACAATATCAACTGATAAAATATCTAGATATATATAAATAAAAATGAACTTAACTCCGCATGGATTTATGATGGATTCAGAGCAAATTGAGTACCAAGACGTGATTACTCAAAGCAGGGCTAATTTCCATACCTTAATATTATGTTACAAATCTACAGATTTTTTCAACTTTTTAATTTTAATTCAATCATTTTTAATAAAGGAAAATTTTGTAAAGCACCACATTTTTTTAACCATAAAATTTTCTTTTTACTTACATTAATTATTTTTATAACTTAACTGAACCCTGAATTTCCCCAGGGCTAACTGAATTTCCTCCGAACTTCATTCGTGCGAACGAGCATATTCTGCATCCCTGGCAAACACAATTTATGGGGGGAAATGAGTTTTCGCTAAGGTGAAAAATTAAGCATGCAAATGATGAGACTATATATTTCGGTGAAAGTAAAAATGCAATAAATGTTTCTTTCAACTATTGACTGATGATTGACATTGCGAAGCCTAACCTTTATAAAGACTTTAATTGGGCAAAGTGTATAACAGATAGATACTACAAATGCTAAACTATTAAAAATTGAAAGTTTTTTTTTATCATACTTATTATTACATATAAAATTGTTAAATAATCTTGCTTAAAACTTTTACTTTAGAAAGATTACATTTGTTTGTTCAACTCAAAATATATTTAAAAATATAACAAATTACCTTAATCATTATTTTTAAACTTTAGTGATTAACACATTTTGAATGATTTGCACATTTCATTTGAATAATTGACACTCCTTTTTACGGTTTTCCTATAATTTTTAAAATTTAGTTTTATTTTGAAAAAAAAAAATAAATTTAAAATCAATATAGTGTCAACTAATGAATGATTCATATTTAATTTATTAATTAAATTATGAGTATTTCCATGATATTAATTTCACTGACAGTATTAAAAACAATAGCCATTCAAGCTCACACAGAAAATAGAAAACTGGCCATCACAAAAAGTGCCCTAAATACCTCACAACAACATCTTCTGGCAGGTTTCCATGTAAAAATATCCAAAAATTCCTTTAGGGCTTGTTGGGTGAAGCCTTGTGTCAAACTTGACCAAGTGACAATTTCATGTCTTTCCTAATTGCAAGAATTTTCAATTTCCAGTTTTTACAAATGTTCCACTTATATTTAAATTAAACCAAAAAATTTTAGATTTATATTTATAAAGGAGTACCCTCACTGATTTAGTAAACTCTTATGTAGCAGGTACATTAACAACATAAAATATTGAACCATTGAGAACAAAAGTATGAAAGATAGAAATAGTAATTTTATTTAACATTTAATGCTATTATCCTACATAATATAATCAGTTGAAGCGCTTTTATATTACACAGAAAATTAAAATTAACAAAAATAAACCATCAATGTCAAGTAGGAGAGAATTTTATAATATTTTAGAAGAAAGAATTAGAAGCATGTTAATTTTGTTATTCAGAAATATTAATTCAGAATATGTTAGAAGAGAGAGAAAATTTTCACAAATTTAATTGTTTTCATTCTATATTTTCAATTATTATAGTACCTGGAAATTTGCATTAAAAAGTATAGCCGTTATAAATTTTATCAAAATTATATTGAAAAGTTAAAACTCCTTTAAAATTTTTTATTCTTTAACTTGACTATCTATAAAAATAAAATTTTGACTTAAAACTTTTGTTATCATATATGTTTTTTAAAGCCTGATTTTTGAGCTACACACTCAGCTGTTTAACATTGCTAACATAACTTGGAAAAAACATTTGTAAATTTTTGTGACATTAATTCTCACATGTCACTCTTTTTCAGAATCTAAGAAAATACTTAATTTCAGGTGTAAATAAAACTTTTTTTATTTACTTATTAACTACTTTCATTTTACAATTATTTAAATTTTGGAGGAAAAAAAACTATGTTGTAATAATATATATGAGAATAAATATAGATAATGGTAAAGATATATGAGAATAAATTCGTTAAAAACTTATTTAAATAAAATAATAACAAGTACACAGAAATTAATTGACAATAAATTAAAAGTACTCTAAGCCAAAATTTCTAATACTGTAACAATATGGTAAATTTTACATTTAAATTTTAGATAAAATATATAAATATAACATTAGCAAAATAAAACCAAATATTTGTATGACAAAGATAAATGGCTAGACTAGAGAAAGAAAATTCTCCAATTTTAAATATAATTTTCAACAGCAAATTCTTCAATAAGTACTTTGTGGCATAACAAAACTTACCCTAAAACCATTCCACAGCAAAGAAAATTCTCCCCGACACCATCCAATAATTGCTGGAGGTATAAGAGTACAAGGAACTAAGTATAATAGAGCAGGTTGAGCAGTATTCATAAGAAACAGTCCAACAAAAGTTATCAGCAGACCAATGGCAAAGGCTAAAATTATAGACAAAAATATAGCATTGAGCAGAGCTGTTAAGAGTATAGGACAATCAAATATTTTAATAACGAGTATGCAATGTTTGTAGAAAATTGTACTTACAAATTACAGTTACAAGAAAATAGATCTTTTTCTTGTTGGTGACAAGATCAAATCCATGACAGTATGATACTAAAAGGCCTGTGAGGTGAACAAAATGTATTTATCATCACAATTTGATAATAATTAATAATAATATTTGATAATTTATCATCACAATTGATAATTACAAATGTTTTATTACTAAGGGATAAAAAACTAAATAAAAAAACCAATATTGCAAATTCAAGTATTGAACTCAATTAATCCTTTATCTTTTTGATGAAAACTAAACAAACACATTCAAATGCATATAAATGCGTTAATATGTAAATAAATTAAAAATATACATACCAGGAACTAACAAGTCTCCAAATCCAAGAAGGGAAAACTGCTGATAGCAAATAGCCAATGGATCAATACCGAAGTGTGGAACTCTAAGCACCATTGGAACCTGCAAGCAATTGAAATTTTTTAATTTTATCTGTAATAAAGCACAAATATATTTCGTCCAAAATTATCATCTATAATTATTAACAGACATTTATAAACTAACAGAAAAGTGCCTTTCTTTTCTTTCACACACCTGAAAATCCTTCTGCCTTTTTAACATAAAATTTATTAGCCATTGCATCATAACAATAAAATTTAAATTAAATAAAATTATCCTTACAATGCAAGCAATTAATATTCACTATTTTCTATAACATAAAATAAAAATGATTTAAATTTTTTTCCAGTTTAGCTCTAACCACTACTATTTTTGACAGATATTTCAGATTATGCAGCAAAACATTTCAATTTAAACAGATAGTGAAAATTTTTTTTTAAATAATTACCATTTCTTTAGATTGGCCACCAGTTGCAACTTCTTCCATTACACTTTCACCTTTCTACAACAATAATAAAATAAATAAATACTATTCCAAGAACATTCTGAAGATTTAACTAAATGCAAAGAAATAGATAAAATTTAATTATTTATTGAAGAGTAAAAAATTCAAGAGAAGATGTATCTTCTTGAGTGTTTATAGAAATTACATTAAAAGCATGCAAACTCAAACTACAGCAACAATTTCAAAATGCAAAAGGTAATAAAACTTATTTACAAAGTAATAAGAATATTAAGTATTTCTATTACAACTCAAGACAACAACAAAATAAAATTGCTGCAAAATTTTATTTCAAATCATTTTATTCAATTCATTTGTCAAAAGGGGAAAAAATAAATAAAAGCATATTTTAGACACATTAGAAAAATTATACATTTAATGATTTTAATAAAACTCATAATTGATCATTTTGATTTGCATATGGAAACTAATATAATCAAATTTAAAACATTTGTAAATGAAAAAAAAAAATAATAAATAAATCGCTTATTAAAAATGGTAAGACTTTTTTATTATAATTAAAATCTGAACTGTCTGAAAACAAATTTTTCTAATACAACTACAAAATCTTGATCTCAATTTGAATACATTTATATAGCAAACTAATGTCTCTCTAATGACACACTGGTTAGTTTTCCTGTTTAACTATTTTAATAGCCAAACCTGTAAATTTTGATGCTTAAATCCTGAAAAAATTTGCTCAGAAAGAAGAAAATCGTATACAATATATAAAATTTAAAACACAAAAACTCTCAAGGGAAATTAAAAATTTTTAGTTAAAGTTCAGGAGAGTTTGATTTTTTTTATTAAATGACTAAACAGATTTTTATTACACATATTGAAGTAGGTAAATAATATTTTAAAAGAACTTACCGCTGTAAAAAAATTCTTTAATCAAAAAATGTAGATAATTATTCAAATAAATTAGAAAATTCACAAAAAAAAAACAGTATTAAAAATTACTTACTGTTAAGTATGGTGTAACAAATACAAAAAATATATCATAAAAGAATAGCAGAACCAGAAGTACTGTGCAAATCTGAAAATAGCAAAATTTTAGCATAAAGAGAAAAAACAAATTTAATTTACATGTTTAAAGAATACAAAAATACATTTGTAATAGATTGAGTATAGTTTCTGTTGCATCAAAAGTGTGCTAAAAAAAGTGCACTAAAGTGAGTAAATTAAACTGAAAAAAAAAAAGCTAGTTTTTACATGATTAAGCGAGAAAGAAAGATTTGGTTTTGAAGTTTTAATGGGTAAATAGCCGCAAAAATACATAGTTGCATCCCTTTCCCAGTTAAAAAAAAAATTTACAAAAACTTTCTAATAATTAATAAGTAAAAAAAATAAATTTATATTCCTTTTAATTAATAAATTTTGAGTAACAATAACAAAATGGCTAAGGCTGTCATAATGATAGACAGTCATTATATTGATGCAATGTTGCTCACATTGCCCCCATAAAGTGCTTTTCAGATATAATAATTTTCATTTTATCTAATAAAAAAAAATGGTATGAGAACAATTAAATAGCATAAAAGAAGTAAATGTTCGAATTATGTTTTAAAACTAAATATTCTCATATAACAATAATTTTTTTATTTACTTTTTCAATTCCAAATAACACCAAATTTGTAAAATGGTTAATTTACAATCAAAGCAACAAAGTAAAATAAAACAAAGATAAAAATAATATTACCTTAAAGCTCGGCAATCTGATAGATTTTAACATATGAATACAGAATGCAACGCCAAGTGTGTCTTGTAATATCCAAGCATATCTAGATTAAGAATGATAATAATTAATGCAAATCACAAGTCAAAAAGAACAGTTCCAAAAAACAAAACATAAAACAATTCTTTAAAAATTAAACATTTTTCTGCACAAACTTCATAATTATTACCACCAATGCTTATTTTTATGAACTCGTCAAAATATCACCAATTTAAGAACAAGTTCATTTGCAAATAAATCAAACTATTAATTCACAAAAAGTTTACAAAAACTCATGAAACTTTTTTTTTGTTACATATTCAGCAGCAGAATTGTAGTGGAAGAAAAACAGGAATGAACACCTCTTTAATAGGTTTTTAGGTAAGAACAATTAGATAATTTTTTACATGAGGGATAACATTAAAAAAAATTATAATAAGAATAACCACATAAAACTCACTTCGGAAATAGGTATTTCATTTGGTGAAAAATAAATTTAGATTTCCCACAGTTGAATAAATATTCGTAAAACAATTTCAAACTATTATTCAATGTTTTTTTTTAAATTTTAAAATGCATTGTTTAATAACAGTTCTATCATAATGTGACATAATTACTGCTATAATTTTTTTTTAAATGAATATTTCCTCTTTTATTTACTACTGCTTAAGAGAATTTTTACAGATCAATTTACCTTGATTACATATCAATAGCATCCTAAATCCCTTGTTTGTCCGCTTAGTAAGATTATTTTGTGAGGCAATTGAAAAGTGTATCATAGAGAGGACAGTAACAGTTTTTCCATCTTACACTGGGAAATTTTTTTTCTTTCTAGTTTTAGGATATGCTTGATTTTCAAAGAAGGAAATAATGGTCAATACAGGAGAAATAATAATAACATAATTAGTTGCTAAATTTTGATATAAATCACTTGCAATTTTGCAACAGCAATATGGGGTGAACAATTATAAAAATAAAACATATTTTTTTTAGTCCACATTAAAGTTCAACTTTTAAACTTTAATAAAAATCTGAGATATTTAGGCTTATACCAATTTTGCTTTAAATTACACTATTTAAAATGTTTATTTTTAAAATAAATTGTGTGAACCAATTTTTTCAATTTAAAATAGATATTATCATTGCAGTACATATAAAATTATTTTAGATATTTTAAGATCTCAGTGAAAGCAGACAACAATTTACCCAACATATAACATAAAAATAAGCTTACCTCTGATTACGAATGCAAACCCAATATATAGGAATTGCAATTGCAAAACAAGCAAGAAATACTTGGCGGAAATCTATGTTGCATGATCGAGCACCACAACGAAATACAGTTCTGCAAAACATATTACACGAATTAAAAAAATAAAAAGTTGCAAACTTCTTCAATTTTTATGCAAATAGTATAATTTCTGAATATGACAAAAAAAATTTTAAATAAATAAAAAATCTTACAGTTAATTCCCACAGCTATAAAAAAATCCTAAAGTTATAAAAATTTCCTATTTCAATTTGTATCATTACAAAATTCGAACATTACTTATGAATAACATGTGGCAAAAAGTTAAAAGAAAAATTAAACTAGCAACAGTGATTTGTTGACCAAGAGGACCATGGGGCAAAATAAAGGCATTAAGAAATTATTAAAATACTAAATCTCCAATATTATTAACATGAATTTTGAACTGTACAACTTATTAAAAGGCAGTAACATATGTAAAGGCAATAACTTAAAACAAGCACATGGCAAGAAATTAAAAGTAAAATTGCAGCAGCCAGTTGTGAGCTAAGAGGATCGTAGAGGTTATAATTCTAAATTTTTGAAAACAACAGAATGATGGTGTGGGAAGGTGATTACACAACAATTAGCCTTTACTTCCAAGATTAGCTCATTTACACAAATTAAAGCTAGATGTGCGTCAAATCACAGCCAAAGTACTTCAATCACAATGGCAGCTTAGTGCATAAACCATTAGGTAATTATAGCTCTGAGATTATAAGAACATCACAAAGATCTACAAAAGACTATCAGTATTTATCAGAATAGATACTTAAATTATTAAAAAGACTTAAACTGCAACTGAAAAATACTTACTTGCAGAAACCAAGTTTAATTTTTAAGACAAATGGCTCTAAGCAACTATGTATAGCTAGGATGCTTGCTAACACAAACAAACCAATTATGAAGTAAACTGCAAAAAAAGTTTAAGAAATAAGTGACGGGAAAAAGAAATAAGTTAAGAGAAACTGAAAGAAGTGAAGTTAATTATTTGAATTATTTAAAAAAAATAATATTTGAAATAATTCAATAGTAAAATGATATAAATTATGAGAACACCGTAAAAAAATTGTAAAATCTGTAATTTTAAATTTTTTTTTATCATTATGATAGTCTTAACTTATACTATATTATAAAAATATTTTTAGAAGTACTTTTATTATAAAGCAATAAAAATACTCCTTAAAAATATTTTTCATTCATAATTTAGAACATAAAAACAAAGCAAAGAAATCAATTTTGAAAAAGCAATAATTACATCATTTATGCAAGCATTTTTCTCAGTTAGATATTTGAAAATCAATATTTTGTGTGAGAACAGAGTAAAGATGAGGCAAGCTCAGTTACTAAAAAAAAAAAAAAAAAGGTTATGGCTTGGGTAGGCTTGTATTTTTAAACACCATTTGGTACAGTTATTAAGTATAAAAAAAAGTCAAATTAATTCATTAATTGTGATCAAATGGTTTTAATGACTAATTTCCTTGTTTCAGCATCAAAGGCCAAGTGACGAGGATGCAAAATTTGGCTTTTATTTGATGTATATCTCAAGATTGGGTAAACTTTAAGTCAACAGTTCTCAAATGGTGTTCCACGGAGCCCGAAGCTCCTGTGGAAAAGGTAAATAAGTTCTGAGAGCATTAGGACCTGAAACCTGTAATTACATTTAGATCCAATCAATAATCTACTATTTACTAAATATATTGGTTCTTTTGACGATATTATTTAAAATAAAATGCTAATAAAGCGAAAAAGCATATTTTTTTTAAAAAAAAATACAAATTTAAAAAAACAATGTATTGATTAAACTATTAAAAGGACAAGAATTTATAAATATTAAATTATTACTTCATAATAATCCCATCATGCTTTCAAACCAAAATAAAATAACTGGATTTTGTTTATTGAAAAAAAATGTTTTTCTACTAGCAATTTTCTATGCTTATAGCAGTTTCTTTTAGTTTTCATTTCAATGAAAACCATAATTTGTCTTATTTCATTCATTTTCAGTATTTATATACCAAAAACAAATTCATGACAGAACTAGACTTAGCTCCAGAACTGTGATTCAACTGTGAGATATAAAACCTAATTAAAGAATATTAATGACAATATGATAAAAAATTCCAATCTTCTCACTAAACATTTTCAAAATAAAGCAATCTTTTATAGGTTAATATGCTCACAAATGTTTTAATGTACTTTAGTTATAAGGATGGGGGAAATAGTTTTAATAGTTCTCTATTGAAAAAATGTTGATCACTTAGGGTTCAGAAGTCGAAATAATTGGAAATTGCTGCTCTAAGTAATTCAATGTATCACAAGCTTGAATTAAATTTCTTATGGCTCTGAACTCTAAATGTGAAACCTAACTCATCTCTAGTATAGAAGGCAAAAGAAGACCCCCAGACCTTGACAAGTGCTTACTGTGAACCCACCAAAAATTGCACAAAAACAAAGAATCATAAACTGCAGAAATGTAATTGAACAAAAAAATTAATGAACAAATAAATTCCAATAGATTTTGAGATTAAAGAAAACACTGATTCTGTGCAAGAATAAAAAAAAAATACCTAATATGAATTATTTTTGGCAAATATGCATCTTTTTTTTATGATTCTGCATAGTGTAAAGCTTATTTCATTAAATATAACTCCATTACAACTTATTTATTGCTCCTTATTAATACTAAATTCATTCATAAGTAATTAGACAATAAATAAACGAGCATCACTTCCAAAAAAATTTTTCTCTTAAATTTTTTTAAATTCTTTTTCCCTTGTTACCCTTTAAATATTAGTCAAATGAAAAATAAAATGTAAACATACTTACTGAGATATTTAAAGAAAAAGTATAAAAGCATTAGCATTACTCCCATGCAAGCAACAAAACCAGCAACAGCATATGGACTGATATTCATAGAGCTTTCTTCAGCTGTATTTACTGTAACTGATGGCTTGTTAGGAAGCTCTCTTTTAGCCCCAGGCAATGCGTTTATTTCTTTGCAATAGCTTGAAAAAAAAATTCTGTTAAAAAAACTCAATAGAGAAATCCGGATTCCATAAACAAAATAGACAAATTTAAACTTCAACAAATTTAATAATAGTAAATACTAAAAATATAAAACATTTAGTCATCAAAGGGTAATTTTAATAGAAAGGTGGGCATCATAAACAAACAACCAGAATTTAATCACTCCAATTTCTTGTTGGTAAGTCATTATTAACTATAAAAGGAATTATTTATAAATAGCTGATTTTGTTATTCTCAAAACAAATAAAGTAAAAGCAAAGGAGTGGACTCACATTTGCAATGACGTAAAAGATGTTTATTCTTTAATTCAATTCTGATGAATTTCAAATCAATATTACTTTAAATAGCTAATATTATGTTTAAAAAAAGGGGGATAGAATAGCCTTATTTAGTAAGTAGATGCTGAGTTTTCTCCCTAGGAGTAAAAAAGAGCAGGGTGCTTCCTCACAGAAAAGGGTACTTTGAGTTTTGAAAAGGCACTCACCACTGTCAAAATTTATCAAATTATGTAATAACTGAATTTTATCCTCAATTTTTAAACTACTCCCTTATACTATTTTATGTGTATACTTCACAAAGTAATTTGCATTCAGTATCAAAATAACAGAAAAATTTGGAACTTCAGAAAAATAATTGAAATTTCAGAAAAATAATTTAAACTTCTGAAAAATAAATTTAAGCATTGTTTTGATGCTTTTTAATAATTTAACCATAGAGCTAGTATTAAATTCAGTATATATATTTAAAATTTTTCTTAAAACTCTTTCAATATGTGTTCGTTTACTAATTTGTTATGTAGTCAGTATTATTTTTAAACCAATAAATCTTAAGTAAATTTTATTTTCAAAAAAGAAAATAATAATAAATAAATAAAACAAGACTTACATTTATTATAAGTATAGAATTTGACCATTAGTCAAGACAACCTTATTATTTTAAATAAATATATAAAAGGTCAAACTATGTTTCAAAACTATGTTTTTTTCAACAAATAATTTAAAAAATGTTTTACTTTTAAGTGAACTTTTCCTTTATTTTTAAAACACATTAGTAAAATATTTTGTTGCAGTTTTATTATTATTTTTAAACTAATAAATCTTGAGTAGTTTTTAAATAAAGTTTGCGTTATATCTTTATTATTTTAATAGAAAAAACTAAGCAATGCTATTATGTTATAGAAGCATTATTTTCAGAATTAACCTTTCCTTTTGTTATAGATTTATTCCTTTTATTTATTTTTGATTAATTTAAAGATTATTGGTTGACAATTTTTGAATATATATATATTGTTTCATGATACAATGTATCAAGATAAAAAATTTCTTACTTGCCCAATCCTAGTCATGTTAAATACTCAGTTGTAAGTTAAGCATTTATAGAGATTAATTTTGTTAGGTAGTTTTTAAGTAATAGTTTAAGTAGTGTTAAATAGTTAGTTAAAAGTTAAGTATTTATTCAGATAAATTTTGTATTTTTATAGACATAAAATCAGAGTTAGGAAGTAATTATTTGATCCTTTCTAAAATAAACAGCATAAATTTTAAACATGACTGGTGCTGTAATGCCACATACTATCATACTAATTATTGGTGATGGAGCTTACCTTTTGAGCAAAAGCATATATTCTGTAAGTCACTCAAGTTATGCCTCGAGAGGTGCATGAGAAAGCAATACGGCACATAATGGAGCATTCAGATGAGTTTTCGACAGATCTCACGACAGAGATGGAAACAATTTCATAATTTCTGCTGTTTACTATGCTGACATTTACTGTATTTATATGCTGACATTACTTATTTTACATAATTACTAAAATTCAATATATAAAGAACTTTGATAATATTGCAGACATCTCTTAAAATAGTTAAGATTAAAACCAAAGTACTTCCACACAGATAAGAGTACCGCAATCTTGAAATTAAAATTAAATCTTAGATCTAGAAATCTTAAATAAAACTTTCATGTAAACATCTCACTGTTTTATATTTTCAAAATATAAACAAAAGCAAAACTCTAATAGTTTATAATTACATGAGAGCATAACCTTCAACTAGTTAAGTTTCAAAAACCTCAAAAATATAACCTAAACTTAGAACAACACTTACATTGCAAAGCGTATGAGTCCAGACCAATATGAGCCAACAGCAACAGTAAATATTCCAATTACCCAAATTACTAGTAAGCTGCAATCAAAATTCATATTATAAGGTGCAAAGAGACGGACACTAATACTACTATTGCCATACATATTCTGAAAATGGAATAAAAAATCGTTTTAGAATGAGAAAATAGGACATAAAGTATACATAACAAAGCAAATAAAAAATTTATAGATAATTTATATAAACATACTTTTAATCTTTCAACAGAGTTTTCAGAAATCAAGCCAACAGTCATATTGATATCTTTTGCTGCAGTTGAATTTATATGCACCTCTTTCTAAACCAAAACAATAAGAAACTAAAATATAACTTAAAGAAGAAAAAAGTCAGCTACAATATTTAATGAACAATTAAAATTACTTCATGAATAAAAATGATGTAATAAATTAAAGTAATCACATATGCTTTTTATTGATTGTTGGCCTCTCTAGCTCTTTAATAATGAAATTTTAATACAAATAGTAAATAGTTGTCTCGAATAATTCTTATTTTACAGCACATTATATTTGACTATCAGTGAGCATTTACTCTATTCTGTATATATAAGAATTATTATATTTGTAGTTTTAAATTTAAATGAAAAACTGGAATAAACCATTAAAGAGAAAACAGCATTTTAGCTACAGGGATATATGTTACCAAAACACTATTTCAAAGAAAAGTTATGACAAAAAATCAAAATTATGTACTAACAGCAATAGTAATAGATAAATACAGAATGTGTATTCAAGGCTTTAATAACAGAAAAATTAAAAAAGATATAAATAAAATCATGAACATTTTGCTATATTTTTGGTGAAATTTTTCAAATATACTGAATTGTTCCTTTAAAATTGTTATAAAAAAATTGAATGACTTATTATATAAAGGCAATAATGAGTTTATTTAAATTATGGGAACTTTAATTTTATATAATACTCGTATTGTAAATGAAAAATTATACACAGAACTCTTTTTTAGATGATTTTAATTTTTTAATGCCTGCATTAATATACGACAAATAGATTTTCCATTCAATAAAATTTTATTTTAATTAAATTCCATTTTAATCCAGCTTTAGGCATGGCTTGAGCTAAAAAAAAATTGTCCTTATAAATGTGTAATAAGTCAAAACCATTTCACATGCAATGGAAAACCTCTTCACATGCTTCAGAACCAGTTTCTGTTTATATTCAGAGGAAAAAGAGGTTATAAGAACATTTTACGTTTTGGCTTTAAGATCTGTTAACTTAGCAAAGTCACAAAATTTTTTTTGACTAGTTGTCCATTAAATTACCACACCTACACTAAAGAATAGCTTTGGCAATTTTCTTCCATTTGATAGTTGTATAAAAATGCTAGATTATATTATATGATAAAAAATAATCAGAATGTTGAAATCTAAATAAAATGAGTTTTATTTAATATTTCAAATATGTGTAAAAATTAATTAATTCATTAATAATTAAAAGAGAAACATAGAAAAGATTAATATCCAAAATTATTTCAACAGCATTTATAAACTGTTTCTTACCACTCTACCACTTTCAGTAATAAAAAGAATTCCTTGTCCCCCTCTGTCATGAACATTTTGGGCTTGGGTTACAACACTACAATTTCCTTTATTTAACAATAAAACTTTGCTTTTAACATCACTTTCTGGATGATCAGAACACCAATCTTCATAACTATCATTTTGCAAAATATGGAATTCCTAAGAATAAAATTAATTAAGCAATTACTACAAGTGTATATACACATAAATTAAATTCAGAGATAGTAAAAATGTTAATAAATATCAATTAAGAATCACACATTGATTGTACACCTTGAAAAAATTTAACCCAATTTTCTTCAAAATTTTGAAGTTTTACTGATAATTAAGAGATTCTTATACATGAGGGGAAGTAAAATTGAAGATTTCCAACTGTATATTTTAAAAAAATATTCCTTATTATGCTCATAATATAGAGCAAATAAGATAAATTTCAAGCAAATAATAGAAATCAATGTAGATATAATTTCTCGATATCTGCAGGAAAAATAGATATATTTTGTGACAATTAACAAAATAATAGAACTAAAAAATAATAATTAGATAAAATACCAGATTAAAAAATTATAAATAAATAAGCAGAAATAATTATAAAATTAAAAAAAAAATCTGTTGATATGGATAAATGTAAAATATTCAAACATATAACATACATGTAATGAATACAAATGGATTTTTTTTACTAGTATAATATTTATGCCAACTAAAATAGCTGAAGTACCAAATGAACAGTTAAGTTCTTATGTGTGAAATAATCTTAAAAATATACTATATGGGTCTCTCACAGGAAGCATTTTTTTTCTTCCCCGGATTAAAAAATCATTATGCACCATTTTTCTTTTTCAGCTAAGTTGAAAGTAGAGTTTAATGGCACGAGATATAAATAAGAATATGTTGCACCAACATTTTTCCTTTTGATATGTCAGTTCAATGTTTTTTTGCAAAGAAAAAAATTTATACAGCCCACGGCACCTAAACTAGCTATATATATTTCATTGGAGATATTTCCATATCGGTACCTGTGCACGACAACTGTCATTGCTAGAACACATTTCCATTTTCAGTATGATGCTTTTTAATCAATACTTTATAAGCTATATTTTTCTTGGTGTTGGCTTCTAAGATTCAGCATTGAACCAATTCTTACGAGTGATTATTTTTTCTGGAAAAATAAAAATTGTGGAAAAATAAAAGTGAGTTACTGTTTCAATGACTTTGGTTCTGTTTCACTGTTTGTACTGTTTCAATGACTTTAGATCAAATCAGGAAAAACCAAGAAAAAGATAAATTTTTTAAAATTTCTTTCGATAAAACATGACTTTCTTCATTATATAAGAACAAACTACACATTTAATGAGTTTAAATGAATTTGTATTAAAATGAGTACACAATTGAAAAATGTTTAGGTAGCAACAAATTATTTTACCTACAGAGAATGGAATTTTTTTTTTAGCGGCAGGCACTAAACTTATCGCTCTGCCATGGAAGGTGCCAGAAGTATTACTCATTTTTCCTTGCTTGGTGAGCAGCATTACCCACACAACAGAGAACAACACATAGAAAGAAACATCCATGCTCTGAGCGGGACTCGAACCTGCAGCCATTGGCTTTGCAGTCAGGCATGCTAACCACTCAGCCACCTGGCCGGCAGAAAATGGAAAGTGATAATTTATAGGTTTCATATCACTTTTTTTAACAAGTAGTCTTTTTTTATTTTTAATTTTTTTAAAAAGTCCATTTTGACCATCTAATAATAATTCCTATACATTACCGCATCTCATTATTTCTTTGCAAAAAGCACTAAATATTAATGAAATCAGAATCACAACCTAAAGAATGTATTAATAAATTATAATAAATAAAAACTTGTCATTTAAATCAATATTTTATTTTTTAAAAACTATCAGATGATTTAAAAAGTGATTTAATTCAAGTAAATAAGATTCCTGTATAGATAAGTCAGTCTAAAGATTATTTCAATAAGAAAATCATCCCAAAGAACATATTAGACTTGTTATAACTTAATTGGCAATACCATAAGTCTTATAATTTTTAGATTTTCAAAGGGGTGCATATGAACCCACTCATAATCATAAAATAATGAAAAAATAAATCATAAAATAATGTTAAAATGATGATAAATTTAAACAGTTGAACTGCTCGCTTGTTTAAGATACAAGATGAAAACACTAAAGTTTATAACTTGTGCAAACAACAAATTCTCCCTCTTTGTTTAACCATAAATTTTTAATGGTAAAGGTATAGAGGAACTAGAATCTATTTACAACAAATTCTCCCTCTTTGTTTAACCTTAAATTTTTAACGTAAGGATATAGAGGAACTAGAGTCCATTTATAAAAATTATTCTTAAATCTAGCAGTGGTATGTTTCTCATAGTATGAACGATTACTATTCGGTACTAGTTACTCTCTCTTTTAATCAATAATTTTGTTTTATTACTAATTATATGCAAGGTAAAAATCTATGAATTTAACTTAGTAGGGATCAATCCAGGTTTTATTTTTCAAAGCCTGCTTTCGTGAGGTAAAAAAAAAAAAAAAAAAAAAAATTTT